GAACGATTTACTGCGAATTCAGTATGCATCTTCAACCTCAACCTTATTTTATCTGAAACACCTCAAGATCAGGTTTTCAGACACACAGTAAGTGTTTTCTTGAAAGCTGAAAGGTTTCTCCGAGCAATGACATGTTAGGTTGGCACGAAGCAGCTTTTTTTTCTCAACGGATTGGCTTGCTTGTAAATCAGTATGGAGAAGTACTTCACGTTTTTTTAAACAGTACACTGGGAGTTTTTTATCGAGCGCACATTGCACAGAAATAAGCGGTAGCAAAAATACTTGAATCACTATTTTCTGTCTTTGCTTGGATTTGATTGCGATAAAAACTGAAGCTTTAGTACGTGTCTAATCGAGCAAACTTCGTGCAGATAGCATGTCACTATGAAAAGCTATAATTTTAAGAAATTTAGAGACAATGAAAAGATGGCAAATTTGATTTTTTTGGATTTTTTTCTACAATGAGAAGATGGCAAGTTTCATTTTTTATGGAATTTTTTTCTACAATGGTACCTTTCCATAGGGACATGCAACTAGCACACACTTCGCTTAAAACCAATAGTACCAACTTCTTCATATTGATTATCTCAAATCACCAAACAAAAGTTGAAAATTTTAGTAATTTTCCTCCACCGCCCGCTTCTTTCCATGCAACATGTGTTCATCAGAGAGCCGCTAAGATACATTCATAAAGAACATTTGGATATAGTGTAGCAAAACTTTCGTACTGTTCGGTAAATGGGACGAGGCTGGGAGACTCCGTATTGAAACACGTACGAATGTGGTTACATAACGAGAAAGCAACCAAATGCCTAGTGAGATAGCCCCCTGTTGCCCTACCATTAGGACTTTGTGAAAGACGAACCGTTAGGGACTCAAATGTTTTGTTGTTCAATAAGTGGTATTACATTTGTGATACGGTTAGTGACCTGCTTGCCCCCTGCCTCCACAAGAGGCGCAAGAAGCACGAGCATTAGGAAAAATGCAAGATCCAAAAAAGCTTCTCAGGAAGTGTTGGAGAAATTCGAACCTAATCAGATCATCATAACTTCACTTGTAAAATGACTGAAGTGGGGTGAGCAAAAGGTTCAGACTCGCTTTTCGATTTAAAAGAATGGACTGGAGGAAATAGGACTCGAAAGCCAGTAGCCTCTGGAATCAGGACCTGTTTGAGAACTTGAATGTTACTAATATCACTCAGTTTGCAAATTGTGACGCTCAAAAAGCTAATTGAAAATTTCATCAGAGCTCACCCAGCAAGGTTTAGCAAATAACAAACTTTCTAAAAAATGCGGCACCGTTATTTCGACATGAGCAATAAGTTCTAGATTGTGAGTGAGAGAGAGATTGAGATTCCAGTGTCAAATGATATACTATGGACGTTCTCTCATAGCGCAGATGCGACGACTTCGCTTTTCCCGCTGTTGGAAAAACCGTTGAACTGCTTAGACTCCAATTTTTTCTCGAAAAATATATTGTTTGGTAAAACTCATAAAATAAAGTTCTTGATCGTCCGTAGCAGCTTTCAAATTTTAACCTTTGATGAATGCACCTCAAAATGCTGTGATCAAGTCCATTCCTTAGAACTTCAGCCATTTTTCTAGTGAAATTAGGATGATTTCGCAGAAGTTTGTAGCATCTCCACAAGCACATGATTAGCATCACTTCGCACCCAGGAAGACTCCCGGTCCTCCGCAGTTGGGGGGGGGGGGGGGGGAAGGAGTGCGGCCTTTTTTAAATTGTTCAGTGTAGCGACGCTCCTCTGATTGGTCGGCACTTCGACGATGGCCAGGCTTTGAGCAAGGGCGGAGAATCGGACGAGTTGCCGAATATGCTCCACTCCTATATACATCATTTATTAACTTTTTTAGCGGCGCTGCACGCGGCTAAACGAGCATCGCGCGCGCATGGTTTAAGAGGGTTTATAGCCCCTTCGGACCCTTCGGACCTCGGATAAAGCCCAGCCCACTGTTCTACCTATCTATTGACCTCATTGAAGGTTATTGCAATGATAAAATGTGGGTAGAAGGGTAGAGTGGGTAGAAGAGAACATTGGCGGTTTGGGTTTTCAAATCATCCGGTAATTGCTAATTAGTACTGCTTACGGTAACACATATTCCAAAAAACGAAGACAAAGAGTGCAATAATTCCTAGACTTCCCAGTGGCAATTCGAGTCTTTCACCGTAGTTCTTTAGAAAATTCTGGTAGTAGCTTACTAGACATACATGGTTTTTCTTCTTAACGAATTAAGTGTGAGGCGCAATGATATCCAGTATGTAAAAACATAATCTTCTCCAATCTTCACTTGAAGTAGTCAAGTAATAATTGCCAGATGCAAATAGGACCAAGGTATAGCAGCAGTCATCCAAGTTCTTGTCAAACAAATGGTTATTGAAAAAACATTGTATATCGTCTCATATGATGATCTTTCCTTTCGAAATTAAGTGATCCATTGCATGTAGTACCAATCCGAAGTATTTTGCAAAAAATCGAAAAAGAGAGACCACATATTCGGCTATTCAAATAATGGAGCGATCAATCCTTGACAGGAGTTTGTTAGATCGAAGTAGACAGCATTCGGTTTATTGAAGTGCGGCATGCATTTATGGCTAGCTGACCTAACAATAAGTTATGAAAAAGAATTGTTACATAGGGTTGTCTCAAAAATGATTTCGCTCTTTTCAAAGGCCGCTACAGTTTGCAGAGCGAAGAGATACATTGGAACCATTCGATGCAGTTTTTTATCCTCTTTCACATGCTTATGTTTCTATTGCAGCGCACTCAAGCTCAAAAAAACCATCTAAAGGATATTCATCGACGACTGCCCCGACTCGTGCAATTACACCACCTTGGGAGTGCCTTATTGGGGCCTTTCCAGCTTGACAGTGCACTGAAGCTCGCGGATACTTGGTAGCTCGCAGCATCCCTGTCCGTTCCTTGTCCTGTCCTGTCCTACTGTCAAGCTGGAAAGGTCCATAAAAAACACGCCCGCGGTAGAGTAACTGCACTAGTTGGGGCAGTCATCGATGAATATCCTTTAACACTGCATCTTATCGTAGTACTTCACTATTTTTCTGACTTTTATATCTTATTCATTGCAAAATCATTTTTCAAGAATTCTGAGATCTAGTTCTGAGTGTAGTAGGTGATTGCACCTAAGTTTTCGACTTTTACTTGGAACTCTATCGGACGCAGCTATGCTTTGGCTTGGCGCTAAGCAACCAGAGTTTTTGAGAAAAAGCTATTTGATCAAGCAAAATTCGAGAATGTCCAGCTAGAAATCCTGATGTTAATATACTGCTAGGTATAGGGCTTATCAAACGGAGTGTCGCTTGCATCAGCATCTCCACTCTCGCGATGGACTCTGCATTTCTTCCGAGAACATGCTCTCTGATTACTTCCCCAGGGCGAGCGTGGGAAAGGAGGAGCCTCAACCGATTGGAAGTGATTAGAGAGCATATTCGCGGAAGAGACGCAGAGTCCAGCGCGGGAATGGAGATGCTGATGCAAGCGACACTGCGTTTGGTAAGCCCTGTAGCTTTAGCTGAGCACTAATCTTCACCGAAAACTGCAAGGGAAATCTCAGAAAATGATTATTCATGTTTGGTAGTCGTAGCCAGTTGAAAAGTCCTGCACTTTTCTGGAAAGCTTCGAATGTAAACATAAGTGGTAGAAAGAGGATGGAAAGCTGCATTGGATGCACTAAAATCGTCTACTAATCTGGAATTCGACTGATGCGACTCCTAAAAAAATCATAATGGCCTAATACTTTGCCAAGGTAAAATCAGAGACTTGCTCGAGTCTCTCAAATATTGTATAGTTTTTTCACGAAAAAATAAGACTTATCTTTTATGTAGCTTTTGGAACGACTTTCCTTTTCTTTTTTGTTTTATGACCAGCCGAAGGCTACCGCTTTGTCTCTAGTCAACAGTCATCAGGTGGCCATGCGCATTTGAGTAGTATGAAGTCCATATTCATATTCAGTAGTTCAAACTACTACTAACGCAATCATCTGCTAAGGGAGAGGGTGGAGGAGGGCTGGAGGGCTGGAGATGCTAAGTACCCCTGCAAGGAAAGGCACCTAGGGTTCATGAACTGTGCTAAGCTGCCAACTTGTGAGAGTTTGTTCCACGATCTCTCCATTATTCCCATACAGGGCCCGGCGGGGGTGGCGCTTTCACAAGCTGGATATCGTTTTTGGCCCGAAAAAGCAAAGGGGAAGTCGTAATTTGGGGTCCGGGGCTCCGCCCCGGACCCCAAAATACGGATTCCCCTTTGTTTACCGATAAACAATGTACATATCATTCGTTATTCATCATTCCTTGTTGATGCTACTGTCCTATGAACTTAGATTCCAACAATGTGAAGATTCTGTGCCCCGATCGCTAGCCTGCCCGCAGGCGGGAATTCAAATCGCAATTCTTGTAAGAGGAAAATAACAAAATAGGCTCGTTTTCAAAGCACAAGTAACGATATGGCACCAAATTTGCTGTGTAGTTGGAGGACCATGAGCACAAAAAAAGTATGAAGAATTATGAGAAACTTATGTGAATCTAAAAAATGGTAAGAGTTTTTCGAAATTAGGTGGCTCCCGCGCCACCTGGGAGCCACCTGAGGTGGCTCCCTGCTTCCCTTCACATAATTTCCCAGATTTCTTTACATGAATGTGGACTAGGGCAAAAGTGTTACTACTTACACAAACCCGCTTTTCAAACTATTGTCTCTTCTCTTTGCTACGGCCTTAAAAGCTATAATGGATGAACATAGAGGCTTGGAAAACGCGCTCCAATCGCATAACTGTGCGCCTCGGACGGACAGCAGGATTTGCAATCCTACATTTCTTTTCAACCTAATTGTTTGCTATGTACATTCCGCACCTTTCTTGTTTTCGTGTTTCTTTTACATAGCCGCTGTTTACATCACGGACAACATACTTCCATTCTTTTTAGGGTTTCGTGGCAGTAATGATGATCGAAACCGAAAGATCACAAAGGAGACGATGCGCATCAAACAGCGGAGATTCCCATGGAAAGATGTATGGATCGAAAAAGTATACATTTGAAGATTTTTTGCTCATGAGGTAACTGTGAAGGGCAGTGCAAGGTAGGTGAGGATAATTGTATGGTTCTGTGACGATTTTTTCGTGGTTTCTACTTTGTATTTGACTTTTACAGCTTGGGGGAGTTGAAAAAGCAAGGAATCGATGCGCTACATGGTGTTTGGATAAGAACGACGCGTTTCTACCTAGAAGGGTAAGGTAAGAATCTTTTGTCAGTGACTATCTTACTTATATTACTTTAGGACAAAATGGGTTTTTCTTTCATTTCGGCCGTTTTTTATAACTAGTTGCATTTTCGTTTGAAAAAACGAGCTTTTTAGTCTCTCTCATTATGTAGGAAATTCTGTCATTGGATAAGCGTTTATGATTGAAATATTTAAGCGCATGTCCATGAAACTTTGCTCGTACACGCAGTTTTATAGCGTATCATCTTGAGATGGTAGACTTGTAAAGGCTATGTACACATGTCTTACGATGTCCATCTTATTTTAATTGGTTCTATATCCCAGATGATCTAGGAAGTGCTAGTGTTAACTTCTTAATTACACTTGTGCATTTCGAATCTGTTAGTCTTAGGATGATTATTATCCGTAGTCAGTCGAGATTTTCGATTCCTTAGACTAAATTTCTTAGTTTTCACCCACAAAACATGGACTTCCTGAGACTAAATATACCCTTTAGTACCGTATACTTCGGAACATATTGTCAAGATTAGAAAATTTGCATCTAGTGACTTTATGCAATCAGGCAGTTTATCGCTTTTCAGGCGAATCTCGTCGACTGTATCGTGGAGTTATGTAAATGATGACGCATTACTAGAAGTAAGAAATCAGCATTGAGGTAGTCAATTATTGCTGTTTGCTGTTTAGCTTATAAGTGCTTCTTGCTCTATCCTTCGTTTCCAAAATTTTCTCATTCTTCGATTTTCAGAATCATAAGTTGTTTCTTCTAGAAAAGCGGTTGGAACGAAAACAGCTGTTGCTGTACATTTTCAATTTGGGCAGCTAGAATGGAGCATTGCTTCGATTTGAATTTAGCCGCAGGGGTGACCAAATTCTGTTTTGACATTAGCTTATTCTCGTAAATTGGTAAGCGGTGTCAAAAACGTTGTTCCTTCCAAAAAAAAACTTTTTGCAGATGTCGAGCCGACATAGGAAGATGTGCTAAAATCTAAATTGTCAAGTTGCCAATTCGTTGCCCTTGACGAGGAGTAGCTGGCAACGAAGCTTTTCAACTTTAAGCCTATGTCGCCAATCAGCGTAGGAGCGTAGGTTCTATGGGGCACCAAGAGACTGAATTAATAGTGTCTAGCTTCATCCTTCTCCATTTTTCTTTTCATAGCGTCTCAATAGATTCTAGTGAAAGTTTATTGAATGTTAATTGAAGTGGAGTGAGTAAGAATTCAAACGAAATTCTATTTTGTCCTTTTCCTCTGCATACTGCTGCTCAAAAACAATTGCGTTTTGAAGTTGGAATCTCTTTGCGAAGCAAATAGGTTTTAGCATAACATAACACTATCAGCATTGGCGAGTTGTCCCATATATCTTAGAGCTGTCATTTCTAGTAGGATCTTTTCATACTATCCTATTGAGTGTTGTTCGGCGGATGCTTTTGTATTATAAACATCCCCGTTTTCTCTTGTTACATTAAAATAAAGCTTTTTCTTCGCTACTACGGGAATTTTGGAGAATCACGGCAGATTTTCCGTTTTCTGATTAGAAAAATCACGTGGGTTACCTTTCACCCACATCTAGCCAACGCTTCAGTAATTTTGACCAAATTTTTTGGGTCGAGAATGGCCCACATTTGCATTTACTTTTACGCGAAAGGAAAACGGTGGTTTCTTAAGTTGTAGATTCAACGTCTGAACTTACTAAGAAATCCTTTCTTTCCACTTCTGTATGTCACCTTCTTATAAAGAGGCCAGAATTATTTACTACCATAACGCTACAGTAGAGATATAGGCCCTGGGTATACCTCTCGCGATTTCAGTTGCAAAGCGATTTGGCCATTTGTCAGACCTCTTTAAACCCAACACTCGCAGACCACAAATGCTTTTATGCTCAACTTTTGTGAGTCCATAAAATGTGCCATTTCGTATGCTCGAATTGGGTTTGCGTTGAGGAGCAGCTAGAATGTTGCCAAGTCTAGCGCGACTGAAATCGCGTGAGGTATGTCCGGGCGTAAGGCAAAAGCTGACAATAACAGAACAGACTCGAGAATTTTTTTCGAAGGTGTGATTCAGAGAAGTGATCAAGATAACCCTCTGTTCAAACTAACTTTGAACCACTAATTCACACATTGTCGCGCTTATAAGTTCAAATTATGTATATAATCTATGAGTGAGGGCATCAAAGGAAAAGTCGTAAAAGTGTTGAAAGTCAAAGGGGATATAGTTTTCGAAAATCTGAAATGCCACCTCCTGCCGGGCCCTGTTCCCATAGTTTCCTGAATGTTTGCCGGATCTCTCCCACCGCTTGCGCCCTTCGTCTCATGCGGATACAGGGAGGTAAGCTTTTGGTTATAGCTGCCGACCTTTTTACAGCTCCAGAAGTCTGTTATGAAAATCCCCAACAAAAATTGCAAAGAAGCGCAGTTCATGCACCATGATAGACTCTTCTTCAGCAAAGGATGAGTTTTTAGGCAAGGGGTCAACCGAGAATCGGCAGAAAAAAATCGAAATCGTACCTTACTGCTAATGTACTTGCAGAGAGTGGTCGTAAATGCAGAAAAGAGTAGGCCCAGCACCAATGGTTTACGTCCCGTCCTTTCTGTTCGCACGTGACATCTTCATTTGAATCTGTCAATTTAGCATTTGTCTCTGCTGTATTAAGTAGATTTGATGCTACTCACTACTGCATCCTCGTATACTACCACCACTGCAGATGTTACTATCATCTGGAATGGAGACTTGAGGCTCTTGTAGCAACGGTGGAAGTGGACGACCATTGCTCATTTCGGTGAGCTCTTGACCAGCTGTCAGTCCAATCTCCTTGACCTGAAAAAGGAAAACGAATCAAGAAATGAGGTAGCAAATGAAACGGTACCGCAGAAAACTCTATACCAATTAGCCCGATAGGTGTGGTGGTGGCTGCTAGCCGAGAGGGTTGAGGTGGCACCCCCATGACCAGCGAAATGAAGAAAGGAGCGAACAGCCAGCTTCAGACGTACGTACTCCGGCATGGGCGATGTCGATAAAGGTTCTAGAAGACTTTGCCCGGTCTTCCGCGCAGTTTCTTGATCTCCAATGCGTCAATCTCGCTGAGGGCGTCAATCTGCAACGGTTTCTCAGAATTGACCAAGAATATTGATCAGGCCCTAAAAAACCTTTTTATGATCAGAAGCATAACATAGCACATAGAAAGCTTTGTTATTCCTTACTCAACTACTGAGTGAGAGGCAGAGTTGAGTAAGAGGTCAGTCTTCTAAGACCCCCCCCCCCTGAAAACTCATAAGCGACCCCTTTTCCTTCCTCTTCAGCTCCGGAACCTTGGAGTATGACGCTCTAGGAAACATCATTCTGTCCTAAGGAGTTTTTGAATTTTTGACTGTATGCCCGATTTGTGACTGCACTCAAGCAAACGGAATTTTAGCCGGGCTATTATCTGAATGAGCCTGTCGAAAGAGCCATAATTTCCCTAGGGATGGTCGTTTCAGCTCACTTTTCGAATATCAAAGACTCGAACCAAGATAAAAAAGCTATTATCATTAAGGTCTCATGCTCAGATCTGTGAAAGAAAGCAATCCCATGAAAGCATGATGCATTCATGATAAGAGAAGATTCGATAACGAAGAATATCTAGTTATAGTAGCTAAGGTTCAGAGTATACAAAATTTGTTTACAAAGTACAAAATGTACAAAATGAGCAACCACAGTCCTTGATGAATGACTAGAAACAAAAAAAAACACCGTTTTGCAATGGTATAGAATGGCGGCAACAATTGTGCCATATCTTGGATGGATTGATTAGTGGATCTTTATAAAATGATCTCCACTGTCTCCAATGCACCCTTCAGACTATCGCAAAAATTTTCGTGTTTTCAGGTTAGAGAAAAGTTGATTAATGATCATGGCGTGATCTTCAAGCCGCTAGCTATAGTGTACTTGATTCAGATTATGTGAGAAGTTTGTTCTAATTCGTTTTAACTGAATCTAAACGCCGCTCGCTTAGTTACAAAAATAAAATTCAAAAAACAAATGTGTTCTCTTTGTGCGAACGCGAAAGTTTGTCGAACTAGGAGGTATAACTTGGAACAAAAAGAAGAGTTGATTTGTAAACAATTATTTAGAAAGAAGATAGCGTGAACATCAAAACGACATTAAAAATGATCTTTGTGAAATCAAGCAGAGCTTTCACACACATCATAAGTCAAAAATTATCTTAGGGGCAAGAAGAGGGAGGAGCAGTGAACATTTGTTACAATGCAATCGCTTTTGAAAGTCTTACTATTTTGCAAAACTCGATTTCTACTGTCCGCAAAGTTTCTAAGGAGGTAGGTACATCGCATAATGATTTATCTGTGGTATAGTTTTCAAAAGTATAGAAACACTTACAACATTTAGGTTGTGCAAGATAAGGTATGCTTGCTTGACTGTGCACATTCATCCGTAGTACGCCGAATGTCAGATCAATAGAGCTCTGCTCTATGGTTCTAACAAGGGAAGGATACCAGGTCGCAGTGGAGAACTAAAATGATATGCATATCATTAGATGCGTCTTGATGGGCTGATTCCAAATCTTCCTTTCCTATCTGCTACGAGCTTCTCTAGAAGAAGTTATGGGCGTTTCAAGATGTGAGATTGTTGGGATTTTGACCCATAACCCGCTCTAGAAACTAGCTTGGGAGTGATCAATTGGCATCGTTTTGAATACACTGACTACAAGAAATGCATACATACACCGAACACACGAGTAAGCGTCTTTGAACACGTAGTTCTTGAAGATGTGGCACTAATGTTTGCTAAATTTGGATATTCAAACGTACATAGCGTCTTCTAGAGAAGCTCGTAGCAGATAGGAATGGTAGATTTGGAATCAGCTCATCAAAACGCACCGAATGATATGCATATCATTTCGGTACGCCACTGCGATCTGGTATCCTCTCCTTGTAAGAAGCAGATTGATTAGGTTGATGATTCTTGCACCATAATTTTTAAAATTTTGTTACCTTCCCCAACTTCAAAGAAATCTTATAATTTAATACGTGATAGATAGAGAGAAAATCTTGCCCTTGCTGCATGTGCTTAAGACAAAATTCCTTGAGGGCGTATGCCAACGATGTAAGCTGATTAAAGAATAACCCAAAAAGTAATTTTTCGTTTTGATCACTAAAATTGCTTAAACGTCTATTATGATTTGAATTGATTTTTAGTCTTGGTTTTATGATCTACTTTTCTGACTATAAAAAAAGGTTAGTGATTGGATGTCTCTACGAATAAATATGAATTTCGGGTTTTTCAATTCGACTCAGTCATTTTGTTTCATATTGATTTTCTAAAATGCACTATAAAACACTACTTTTGATATAATAATAACAAAATAATATATAATAGATAGCAAAGAGCATACTGCGTAAATCGACTAGTTTGTTTAAACATTTTTGAAACGAATTTCTCTATTTTTTGGTGCAAGGAATGTGCATCAACCTCATACATTGCACACATAGTCATGCACACTATGTTCTTAGCTCATCACGGAACCTAGTGAGAAGCAGAATCCGAGTTTTAAAGCTCAGAAGTGTGCGAGCCAAAGCCCTCTACAGGTCAATAAAAATCATGAAATCTCATATTCTTTTGACCGTGGTCATACACAAGATGATGTATATCATAGTTGTAACGAACGGAAATTTTCATCGAATAAACGAATATCGAATAATTGAATTTTGAAAAAATTTCGAACGAATGGATATCGAATAATTGATTTTCGAATTTTTTTCGAGCGAATGAATATCGAATATTTGATTTTCGAAAATTCTTCGAATGAACGAATATTATTTGACTTTCAATTTTCATTTTATTCGAATTCGAATATTCGAATATTGGCACATTCCAAAATTCGAATGAACGAATACTTGAATAACCGAACTTGATCGACTATTCGAATAATCGAATAAATGGACTTTCTCGAATATTCGACTATTCGAATATTCAAGTAGTCGAATATTTCGAATAAATTATTCGAACACGAATATTCGGTGCTAATTATAATGTATATCAATTGATGTAATTTTGAATACCAACTTTGAACCTGTTTTTCTCATCTGAAACAATTTTTTTGAGCGAGATATTTACTCTACAGTTGATTTGCACTGCTGCTTGAGAGTAGGGCTATCGATAGGGGATCTTGTTGTGTTTTGTGTACCAAATCTAACTGAAATCACACATAATGCTTGACATGAGTCAATGATTTTAGTTTGCCAAAAACAGCGTCTCGAATAGTTCTGTTAATTACTCGGAATTATGTATCTTTAACCAAAAAAGTCTAACTTTTAGTAGAGCGTTTCCAGTTTGCGTATCAGCGAAATCTAAAGCTATTTTCGGAATCACACTCCGAAAGCGTTTTACGCTTTGGAGAAATAGCACGTTTTTCTTCTCAAATTGCCCTAGGTCCAGTGTGTAGCAGATATCTCAGACCTTAGGAGTGTAGTTCTACGTGTAAGCTTGTGAGTCAGAATTCCCAGCGTTGAACAAAAAAAAGAAGCTTTACTTATAATTACCCTCCCGAACGTGTTCGGCACACATTGCTTTACTAAGATGACACCAAAATTTTTTTGTGCTACGTATACTGCCGGCTACGCTCTTATGTGGCTAATGGTTACCGAAATTTCCTTCGGAAGCACGAAATCCTCAAAACAAGGGAACTTGTACAAACATATACCGCACTTTATAATCGCCTAGAGCACTTGTTTTTTGCCGTTCTCAGAAAACTGTGGAACTTGTATTGTTCATTTCTGCTAAAGAACCTAAAAAATAAAAAGGCTTGTAAAAAAAACCATGAAATATTTGGAAAACTGGGAGGGAAGCCAAAACCGCAGCGGCGGGCTTTTCCGCACGGCCCTTTCATAACGGGGACACCGCTCCCCTCGCCGCAGGGATATTAGTGCATACGGGCCTAGGACGGGGATTTTGGGGTTTTCGCGGATTCTCGACTTCGTATTCCAAGTCAGAGACATGAGGAGACCAGGAACAGTCAGAACATAAGTCAAGAATCTGGGTGGACGGTGCCTTTAACTTGCTCTCAAATGTACTAAGATAGCGCAAATTTTGCTCATTACATAGCCGATGGTCGGTTGTGCAATGAAATGAAATATGGATTCCACAACATTCTGCGAGAAAATTCTGCAAAAAATTGAAAATACCCAGTTTTTTCAGCATTTTGGATTTTGGTTTTTCAATCCAAAAAACTGCCTTGGTGATTTTTTCATTTTTTCCCTCTAAAAGACGAGGAAATGCCGCCGTTTTCCTATTATTAGTTGTACTAGGTCCAATTTAGGTGCAGAGCAAAAGTTGTACAATCGCTTTTTGCTTGAGATTTTTATGCGGCAAAGATGAGCCTCATCATTTTTTACGTCAGCCAAGTTTGACCTAAAATTTTTCTGCTTAAGATTTCCCAAAAATCCAGTATTAATGAGCTTTTCGTAGCATAAACCTCGCAATCGTTATGCATATTTTTGAAGAAAATCCGACCATTTTTTGAATATAGAACAAGGAGCGTGAATGCAAAGAATTTTATGTTTCAGTCACCTGTCTTTGAAGGCCTGTAAATCTGGATCAAACATAGATTTGCGATGACGAAAGCACAGATCAGAAAGTGGAAGAATCGGATTTGAGACACTAAAAAGAGTTCTAAAAAAAGGGTTTTTCCTTGAGAATCACCTTTTTTGAGAAGAGATGAGAAAGACGTGCATTAATAATAAGACAACCTAATATGTCAAGTTTGAACCGGCATGGCATGTAAACAGGGCTTGGCACAAGTGGCTCACAAAGCAAGCTGGATGTCGTTTTGGAGTGAAAAGCAAAGAGAATATCGTTGTAGGAATAGGAAGGGAATACCGGAGAGCTCCGAAAAATGTATGTATAAGCTTACTTTGTTGTGTACTAATATATCGCCGATCCCTTCGTGCAAAATCGGAGTATCACGATTGGGAAGAATATCTAAACAAACCTTCCGGTACAAGGAACTCAAAAGTGCATTTAAAAAAAATTAAGGAGTATAAAAAACTCGACGGTGTGGTCACTTTCCGCCCAATAAGTCAGCAATTTTCTCAGCCCTCTTCCCCCTTCCCCCCCCCCCCCCCCGCTTAAAAACAAAACTTATCGCTGTTATTACATGAGTCGTGAACATAGATACTCCCAATATTTATCACATCCTCCCAACTTTCATCTCTCCTCCCCCCCCCCCCCCCACTCCACAACTGCCACCCCTTCCCCTCTTTCATATCGTTCGTCTTCTGGAGACGTCGCAAGTGCCAACAGAGCCCCAACTATCCAATTCCGTAAAAACCAGCAAAAAACCCAGCTCCAATATGTTCGCCGCGCAAGCGCGGGAATTCAGATTTGCCCCCGGGATAAGGAATCGGCTTGTTTACAACGAATAGGAAATGATATGACACCAAAACTGGTGTATAGATGCGCGATAGGGAGCTGGAACTATGCGTGAGAAATTACGAAAAAGTTATGTGAACTGAACAAGTGGCAAACTTTTTTCGGAGTTAGGTGGCTTTCCAGTCACCTGGACAGCCACCTGAGGTGACTGTGAAAAAAAAAGTCATAAATTTTTCTTCCTTCACACAATTTTTTCACATGTTTTACATGGCTTTGTTCTACATCAAAACCCTATTATTGAGTTTTAAAATCTCCCCAAACCCCCTCCTCCTTGCCTAGTTACAGCCCTCCAAATATTTTGAATGGCGACGGCAAGCCTTCCCTATAGGGCACCATCGCGCTTATAAGCGCGCGATGGTGCGCGCCGGACACAGCACGCCGCCAATTCCGAGATTATGAACTTCTTTGATTCTTTTTCGCTTGTTCAATGTTATTTTATGTTTTGCTCAATTATTTTTTGTGTTGTTTTTTTTATCCGCATATGATCGCGTCATAGGTGATGTCGTTTTTTTTGTGTCGAAGACTACGGGGACTTCGTTTTCAAAAGATTGGAAAAGCCACTTCAAGCCGAGCCCTGCATGTAAAACAAGGCTCAAAATGTGAAATCAAATGGATTTTCATGGTTTACGTTAGTAGCGGACATCAACAGACATAAATCGTTTCTATTTTTCATAGGATACCTGTACATCAGCTTGTAATTCTACAGTGTCGTAGGACCCTTTACCTAACTACTAAATGAAGATTAGACAGGGACAGATCAAACGTCCTCGATTTAATAAAGATGATTGATCTCTAACTTACGCGAGTGTCTGCAGTTCTTCACTCCTCGACCGCTCGCTGTGGAGCACGTCGCACTCAGTTATGCTTTTCGTGAGATTCGTCGGAGATCCAGTAGATTGAGCAGAGCACATACATGATATCTCTTCTCCGAAGGTTGTATATACAAACTACAATGGAGAAGCAGGTGTGAAGCCTGTACATGTGAAAGTCAAGATCATACATGAACATGCCAAGATTATTGTGAGTCTCAGGTCTATAACATGCCTGCGCACATGAGCCTAAAAATTTTCCTCGGCAAGTATTAGAACCGTTAGCGTTTTGAATCCTGGGTACAGAGGGACTTATGAGAAGTACGAGTAGAATATTCGGATCAAGTCACTCCGGTTGCCCACTATAAATGAAATGTGCAAGTTCTGGACAGGATTTAAATAATGAACGTAATTTAGAGGTCAAATACATACTAATTAATGTTAGTAACGCAGGCAATAACTACTGACTAGCACCGAGAAACTGGCGTAACGCCTGACTCAAACTTCAGTAAGTAGTAGAGAATGTAATGAAATTCCTCAAGCCTAAATCTTCTTCCGACTGTGAACCCTTCCGTCAAATTTCCGTACTTGATTCTCCACCCAAAAAAAGCCGGTTATCCATCAAGGCTGGGACAAATTCACAAAAGAGAAGAAAGCGAAAAGAGGCTTCCCATTTACTCTGATCTCAATCACAACTGAAGCTGGATTTGATAATTCGTAATTTGGTATTGTAAAGCAAAGGCATAGGTGTGTGATAGTCTGATCGTGAGCCAAATCTCATCCCCTTCTCACTTTGGAGCAGGAACTGCCCCCTTCCCTTCACTTAATTGAGAAATACTTTCGTTAGCAATAACACACCGGCAACAGAGCATCCGAGAAAGTTTTTACAGGTGACTGTGGTATTCTAGCAGAGTCCGTTCTTCTAATACTTCAGTGATTTTTTTTTAACTGTTGAGCGATGGCCAAAAAACGCGTAATCAAAAATTAGAAGCAACTGAGGTCAGTTAGGCTAACATCGTATGAAATTACTGAATTCGGCACGAAGAAATTCCTAAATTCTAAAAAAACTTTGTGATTTTGTGCTGTACACCAAAACCTGTCCAGTTTGTTTCCTAATCATTGTCTTGAAAGGGAACAATACGTAAAAATGCGAATTTCATAGCCTCGTACCAACAAATCTGAATCGCCTTAGTCGAATATATACCATTGCTGCGACTAAACTGTAGCCAGTCGATATTTTCAAATGCTCAAAATGAATAAGCCAAGTGTAGAAAACAGTAGTAAGAGTTAAGCTATAGAATTGCTTGAATAACAAGCTGACATGTTTGTCAAAAGATTTCATAGCTTAAAAGGGTATGAAATTGGTCTTTGCAATGATTGGAACGAATATTGACGAGGTTACAAAAATGTGACTGGCCAAAGTGTTGCTGAAATACAAGAACTGTGATTTCCTGATGAATCTCAAGAAAATGGCGGATTTACAAAAACTGAGGAGTGAGCTCTGATTTCCCTACAGAACTACAAAAAAAAAACGAACGTCCAGCATATTTTGCTGGGAAGAGCAAGCAATTAGTCATGGACTGAGTTTTGGGGTTGCTCCAGGAAGAGATGCTCAAAGAATATTATGCGCAAAAGAAGAAACTTCCATGTATCAATGGCCTACAATCCATATTACGCAGAATCAATCCTTTGAGAGAACCTTTACTATTCATAAACGAACATTGCCAAAAAAGTATAAAGTGATAACAAAATCGATAATCATGCAAAACTAAAATGAAATGATGGTTATGAAAGCAGAAGACGATATTCTTTACTGTATCTCCAAGTACGCTTCCAAATTTCTGTCTTTCACTTTCCCAATTTCTAGTGGGGCCGAGTACGGCCCTAACCAGCCATAAGTGGACAGAGCAGATCCTGTAACATAACTTTGAAATAGCAGCCTCAACACTTCTCAAGTTCTCCTTCTTCTCACTTCTTTTCTTTCTATCATAAAACGTTCTACAATAAACTTATGTCACAGAAACCAATCAATTTCTAGAAAACAGCCAATAAAACGTTAAATATCTAGAACGAGTTCTCGTTAACGCTAAGTATCGAACGTCTCGAGTGAAGTTCTATTCATCTATGAGTACAAAAGAATGACCGCATATAGAGAGTGAAGCGTCGGGCGGCATTTTCATCTTTCTTTTTTTTCACTTTGCAGTGTGCTTACAGCTATTGATAAACTCTAGTTTCGGGCGAATTCTCAGCCGTTAGTGCACTACCTGAGCTGCCGGTTAGGCGGTGGCTCAGTTAGGGCCCAAAAGTAATTTCCACGTAAGAGCCCCATAGTCCAGATTTGCTGGACGCTGCCTTTACGAAAGTGAAAACAAATGTTGTATTAGTGCGGAAAATAGTGTTTAAATCACTGCTCCTACTAGTGCAACGATGCGCCAGAAAAGTTTTGTAAAAAAACATTTTCCACGCCTCAGCTCCACATAGATTGACTTATTTAGTGACAATAAAGGGAATAAGAAACAGAGTTGAGGAGCGAGATTAGTTTATTTTTTGAGTAGAGCACACGCTAATCAGCATCTGGTTCAGGCTGGCATTTATTGTATAGGCGAGAGGTGCGGTAGCCTAAACTATCCAGGAGCAATATAGATACAGGGCCAGATTTCTCCACAATGGTGCAATTGCAACTCATTAAGAATATGTAATTACTAGCTGGCTTACCCGGCTCCGCCGTATGTTCCGAATAGAAAATTCCATTTCTCAACCGATCCGGACCAAACTTGGCACACATACACTTCGGGCCCCGGCGGGTGTCACAGTCCACTTTTCGTTATCGATCGATGTCGATTTTACCGATTTTTATCGATTTTTTTGCAGAGTTCACCTACAGGGCTAGGAGTTGGCACAGGGGGGAAGTGAGCATGGGGATTCCGAATACAATATTAGTTTTCAGAATTATCGATTGCTTTTATTGATTCTATCGATTTTTTGGCAGAGTTCACCTACAGGGCTAGGAGTTGGCACAGGGGGGAAGTGAGCATGGGGATTCCGAATACAATATTAGTTTTCAGGATCGTCCATTACTTTTATCGATTTTATCGATTTTTTTGCAAAGTTTGACCTGCGGGGCTTGGAGTTTGCACAGAGGGTAATCGAGCATGCAGATTACGAATACAATATTACTTTTCAAGATCGTCCATTACTTTTATCAATTTTATCGATTTTTTGAAAATTTGAGCTAGGGGGCTGGAATTTGGCACAGGGGTGTTCGAGCATGCTGATCACCCCCCTTGGGGATGATCAGCATGCTCGATTACCCCCCTGTGCCAACTCCCAGCCCCCTAGCTCAAACTTTGCAAAAAAATCGATAAAATCGATAAAAGTAATCGATAATCCTGAAAACCAATATTGTATTCGGAATCCCCATGCTCGATTACCCCCCTGTGCGAACTCCCAGCCCCGTAGCTCAAACTTTGCAAAAAAATCGATAAAATCGATAAAAGTAATCGATAATCCTGAAAACCAATATTGTATTCGGAATCCCCATGCTCGATTACCCCCCTGTGCCAACTCCCAGCCCCGTAGCTCAAACTCTGCAAAAAAATCGATACTTATCGATTACTTTTATCGATAAAATCGATAAAAGTAATCGATAATCCTGAAAACCAATATTGTATTCGGAATCCCCATGCTCGATTACCCCCCTGTGCCAACTCCCAGCCCCGTAGGTGAACTCAGCAAAAAAATCGATAAAAATCGATAAAATCGATATCGATCGATGACGAAAAGTAGCCTATGACACCCGCCGGGGCCCGTAGTGTATGTGTGCCAAGTTTGGTCCGGATCGGTTCAGAAATGGAATTTTCTATTCGGAACATACGTACACACAGACATACATACAGACAGACAGACAGACAGACAGACATACAGACAAACAGACATTTATATATAAGATTTTCCTAGCACATTATATAAGAGAGTCAAGGATATCTCCTATATGAGAGCGTACTATTCTCAAATTTTCTTGCAAATGATGGACGACGAGAGAGAGCATAGCGCAGCAGCCAAGTTCCCGAAACAAACGAATATCGAAAAATCAAATTCCGAACATAGCCCAAATAGCCTCATGCTTAAATGATCTTTTCTTTCGCAATAATGTGGATTCCAAAAATTTGTACATTTTCCAGCTGGTCGCTCAAACACTTGTGTTGAAAAGTTAAACTTTTAATATAGGTCAATCTTTGATTTGTTTGATCGAAATATTCCAGCCCGGATTTCAATGACTGTGCACAAGGATAGCTAGAAATGTATTCTTTAGCAGAATGTATTGCTCTAATCAAAGTACAATCACACTCTTGATCAAGTTTCCCAAGTATGCTATGATTCTTGCAGATTATCAAACCTACTTTGTTTGTAGCTGTTGTAAAAACAATGAGCTGGACCTCAGCTGAGTCTTGTAAAGTTAACTACTCACAATCGAATTTCTGCACACTGTCGTCCTAATTGCGTTAACTTTGTGGATCAAGATCGTGGACCCTTGGACAAAGCTTCTGCGTGTCTTCCATCACCGTGGTTGAAAATGGGGAAGCATTATCCATAAGAGTGAGCCCCGTATGGCCGTAAAGGTTCTGGTCCTCCTAACCTGCAAAAAGAAAACAAAATCAAGAAAAGAGACATTAGAAGAAACGCTACTGCATGGAAGTATAGTACTTACCAACTTTTGGCAAGTAGAAGGTTAAAATGGGCTCTAGATGTGCAGCGCCCCGGCAGTCGCAATGCCGCCGCTGAGGTTCTAGAAGGTTTTCTTCCCGCATTATTCTTTAATCATCGATGGTAGATCGGCTTCAAACTCGAGACGGATTTGAACCGGTGCGAAAACAAGAGCATCATCTCGTAGAGCTTGCTTTGCTCTATCACATGGTATCTTGAAACCTATCGAATTGAGAAGTTCATGACTTAATGCGATTGGAAGTTATAATGGACGGAACTTATGTGACAACCTTGCTATTGGGTAAGTTCAGACAAGTTCTACCTCGCGGCTTTTGTTGTCATGATAGATCTGAACAGTCATTCCTCGTGCATCGCCTTGCAATCATCGAAATAAGCAATCCGTTAAATTATTTTTCAGCTTCAACGTGGCTCAACTAGTGTTATTTTTTGAAATTTTCTTTCTATTTGAGTGGAGCTCGAAGACTTAAAAAATTTTTCGCATTTAGCAGCACTACGTCACCTTTTAATTTCACATTCGACCTACGCCAAGATAAAAGTGGTGAGCGAGACGTTTGAAAGATGCATGACCGAAATAGTACTGTTTTTACACACAAAAACATTTCTGTTGAGTTGTAAGGCATCCTTTAGAGAGAAATCATCACTTATATAGGTCCCTTAGCTACGACGACTATCCCGCAGCCATCACTGGTGAGATGGACGTATTTTCAACAGGACTGTCAGGCTACAACAGCGGAATCACAGTTCTTCACAAATCTTCACGTCTGACATCTCTGACATGCGTGACGCACATTTTCTAACTTGTGGTGGTCCGGATATACAGCGTGAATTTCCCAGCCAATACTTTAATTATGCTAAAATTGGCATAGAGTCCGCCTCGCTAGCTTCATCACACCTACGACTGCTCGTCTGCTCTCTCTACAATCTCTTCGCTCTCTTTGAAGTGCACACATGCAGCACCTCTAGCGCTGTAAACGCGCAAATTTACGCCAACGGTTCAGCCTGATCCGATGGGACAGGCTTACGCCGGATTTTTGCAGAACATGTGTTCAAAAAGTTGGAAAGTGATGTAAACGTTCAAGAATGTATTAGTTGTCAGTAATATCTGTGACTGCCAATTTTGTTGGATTGTGGTCATTGACCACACTCAATAATCCATGATCGGATGTCGCAGTTTTCCATGGCAAGTACGTGTCTATAATCAGAGGATAATAAGCGAAGAATAGAGAAGACAGATCAAACAGAATATTCACAGGAAATGAGTTGTCTGATCATTTTCGGCAAAAAAATCGTTGAAGACAACCGCTGAAAAGTAATTGCAACTCAGAGTTCAAATGCTGATTGTAACAGCCTAGTATGCATAGATGACTTGAACGATTGCCATTATGAGGAAGTGTGCTTTTTATATTCTATAGTCATGTGTTCCATGGCTAAAGCCTCCTTTAACGTTATTGAAGTATTACTGTGTATAATTGTTATTTCACCTTGTTTAGTAAAATCATGAACTCTCACATTTTTCATCTAGACAGCGAGCTGATTTATAGTAGGTGTCTCATGATTAATGCTTGTCTGATCACTTCAGTGCCATTTTTGAGAAGGGGAAATGCATTTTTTTTGAGATTTGCTTTTCTTCTGGAAGCCTTATAGACGCTAGGGTTTAGACAGCGTTATATCTCCATTTTTTGTAATTTTGTTCAATTCAAGATTCCTCATTTCTGAGATGAGTAAGAAAAACTTGGCCTTTTCTTTTACTCAAGGGCGACTTTGGTAGGTACCACGTTTTGTGAAAGACTAGACAGCAGAATGTCAACCCAAGAAACGTTTCCCTAGATTTTGGGTTAAGAATAATTAAAAAGTCAAAAGGTCATAAAATGTTCTCGTGAAACTTGCAAGGTCAACGTCCATGCAGTCTTCAATCATGCCGATGCTGATGAAGTAGCGTTGACTTAAAATTTGGTAAAATGACCAGAAATCTTCGCTTGAGGAGGGCTTCTTAGAAATTTTTTTGTGATGTTACCAGATAGGCCTTGTCATGGGTCACGGCTCCGACAATTGAAGGGCGGAATCACCGTTGAGGAGCTACTTTAAGCAATTTTCTTATTTGAAGACATTCGCAATGGATTGGGCATTTATTCAGTTAAGTGTCTCCCCATCGTACCACTTTACTCATCATACCCATTTGCTTAAAAGGTGTCTTTATCGATTCAAGAGTTTTTATATTTTTCCCTTTTGGGCACGGTAATGCCACAAAACATTGATCTTCGGACTACGAATTTGGTACGCATGTCCCTTCATCATACGATTATTCCTTTAGATGGTCTGTATCGCGTTAGAAGGTGGTCAAACTATTGAGTAATGATTAGTGACAAAGCAAAATGGAATTCAATGAAGGTACTGCTAGATAGCGAGAGTGAGTCTTCTGACAAAGTATTTCAAAACATGTTCGATTCAAAGTGCATCTAAAAGTAACTGCTTACTTTTATCTATTTGGTTAACCTTGATAAATTGATTTGACACTAATCACAACTCAACCAATAATTGTAGAAAAGGTTTTAAAAACGTAAGGGTTGAGAACATGATTTACTGATACAAGTATAGTGTATTGTCAAGTGTGGTCCTAGTCTTTTGAATCTTCTCAAGCAATTTCAAAAGCGTTCTTCTCACTTTCCACTTCTGCAAAATATGAACCCCCTAAACAGATTAAGGATGATGGACACTTCTGCCACGGACAAGATACTTTTTAAGAATGTAGCAACATAGACTTAAGAGGAATTTCGACCCATTCTTGGGAGTGGGGAGCCGGGGAGTTCTAAAATTGTTAAATCTGGCCTACTTGAGTTATAAAGCTGCACAATGAAGTTTTTCGATCGAGGGTAAATGTGTTTTTTTTTTGAATTCTTCGCAAAGTTCAAATCAAATCAAACACAATTTCAGGCAGCTACGATTTTAAGAAGCATCAAAAAATTCCTCTTTTTTTATGATAGAGTACATTCCATGATTGATATAGTGCCTATGGTGGTGACAAACTTGTCGCTGAAAGGGAAGTTCCACGCAGACATTTGTAACAAATTCTGCAACTCTACACATTATGAGCTCGTGTTAGCTGTCCGCGCAAATTGAGTTTATCGGTTGTACGCATATTGTCCCCTTCCATTTGTGCGTAGAAAAAAAACGGCCATTGTGCGCACGCTTTATGCGCCTAACGGCGTTATTTACGCGCAAGTGTTGTCAGCAACGCAGTGACACTACGAACGAATTGGCTGAACTGGTGAATAAACGGACCGCTTCATGTTTCCCACATGTGCAAAAGGACATGTATGGTCAAGTGTTTCAGAACAACAACGCCGATGTTTGTGCTGTCGATAATTATGCTCACATTTCGAAACAGCTGCACTCCCCCTCTGCAGCGCTCGATCTCTTTTTTTCCTCACGACGGCTGCAAGCTTTTTCTCCGTGCAGATTCTCTGGAAATCGAACAACTTGTGAAACAAGCAAATTGTTGTGATGAATAAGGTCTACGATATTGTTGAAAATACCATAGTTATGAATAAGGAGCAGAATTTCGAATTATATTCTGAAACATTGGCGAATCTGTGCGAGGTCAGAGTTCACCAGCTGATCCTTGCCTATTGCCAAGTGCAAGCAGCATTGCGAAAAGGTGAGGAAGAAACATGTTATCAGCTTATCGCCGGTGTCGCCTATCATTTGAGTAGATTATACAACCAAGACAATTTTTAGCCATCTACATTCGCCCTTCGGCTCGCTCCGTGAAGCGGACTTAGTAAGCGTTCGCTTACTAATCCGTGTGTTATGAAGATTATTCTCATTGTTGTAGTAAAGTGTTCGTATCACGCAGTCCTAGGGGGATGTCCCTGCGTCGCGCACTCGCTAGAGTGGATCATTCGCAACCATTCGTGCTAATTCTGGAGAAATTTCTTTTTCAAGATTTCCTATTCACTTTCCAGCAAGATCAGGCGCATTTTCTAGTTGCTGCGTTTGTGAGTTTACGAAGCGATCAATATGGCGACAATTCGTTGCCTCGAAAACGGACAGCGCGAGTCAATATGAGCTAAAGCTTTGCTTGCTGATTTTTTATATGCCCAGGAATTGTTCCTTCAGTTGGTTCACAAAACCCTTGTCATTTAGATTGTAACTTTCCCAGCAAATGGTACCAGCTAGCTTTGTCAAGAAAGCTATATTTAGAGCACGAACCTGGACATTGAACACATTGTTGTTTTGCCGCGGAATCATTGCTAAGCGCCATTTTAACTTCCTAAACGCCTCTAAAATAATCTCTTGCACATTCTCATATGCCGATTTTGACACTGTAAGCCATTGTAATGCCGCTTACAGGTTTTTCCATATTTTGTTTTTGTTTCATTTGGCTTTTCAATGTTATCGATACCATCGTTGTCGCTTGTTTACCCATACTTCCTAGCATGATCGCTAGGACAGCAAAATTTTACAACACCATCTGCTGTCCAACTAACACTGCACATTTGCACCGTAATTCTATAGAACTCATGTTTTTCACATTTTTTCTTTGCTCTTCTAGGATGCCTGTGCTCGCTAGAAAAGTCCATTTCTCACCATCTCTTGATATCTCCTGGCAGGAGAAATAAAACATACCAATTGTCTATATTGTGAATAATACAAGAATTGCATTTCGCGCACACAATTGAGATATTAGTGGTGAAATGAAAAGTAAAAAAGTGAAAACGCAATGTCTTTCAAGACCAGGTTTTTGTTGCGAACAACTCCCCTATTGCATCATTTGGCTTAGCCGCTGGGTCTTCTTCTGATCAGACATTACCGTACCTTTCCCGATCTAAAAATTTAACTACCTAACAGTAAAAACTAACCTCATTTTTCTTCCTAGTATGTATCAGAATTATTTCCTTTATTCTCTTCTAAAAATTCAAAAAGAAATTCAGTGTATTGCAGTTACCTTATTTTCTCTCATAAGATATTAGATCGAGAAATTTCACCATTACCTCCATGAAACTTTTCCAGGATGGTGAGAGATAGATCGAATGGAAAGACGGAACTGGTTAATTATGCCAAGGAGAACAAAACATTTTTGAAGACCGCATCCGCACTAAATGTCGCATTCCTCATTTCCGCTCTGGTCAGTTCAACTTACATTCTCTTCACAGTTTTATCTACTAATCCTGATTGAATGATTTTCCTCGCTTTGGCTCTTCTAAAACGATTTTTTTCCGAATTTGGCTTGCCGCTAATCTTAGGTTTTCTGACGATATCAGTGCGACTCCAAACTCTAAACCTTCAACTCTGACGTAGTGATGGTGTGGTCTCATGGATTGCTATGCGCTGAGTTAGAAGAAATTCTGAGTAACTCCAAACGCGCTGCTAGTACAATTCACAACAATACTATATAGTATTAGATTGAACCGAAAGTTCTGTCGCACCATTTTCAAAAAATCATAACTTCTTTGACTCACAAGGATTTTGCGCAATTCAAATTTTATCTGAAAGCGTAAAGCAAGTAGTTTCCAACAGTTTCCTGAGAACTTTCCAAGCTGCTCAGTTTGCAGAGATAAAAATGAAAGAACGAGATCATCCGAAATTCGGAATTTTTAAGCAAGAATTCTAAAAATTCGGAAACTGTGCGATAAAATCCAGAAGAACCATTATCCTAATCTTTCTTACATTTGATTACTATCTGAGTCAAGTTTGCGCTGATCGAGGTCTTCTTTCAGAAGTTATGATTTTTTGAAAAATAATGCCGAAAATCAATTAAGAATTCTTAAGAAATGGATTTTTTGGCATTTTTTTTCAAAAAATCATAACTTCTGAAAGAAGACCTCGATTAGCGCAAACTTGACTCAGATAGTAATCAAATGTAAGAAAGATTAGGACAATGGCTTTTCTGGATTTTATCGCGCTGTTTCTGATTTTCTAGAACTCTTGCTTAAAAATTCCGAATTTCGGATGATTTCGTTCTTTCATTTTTATCTCTGCAACCTGAGCACCTTGGAAAGTCCTCAGGAGACTGTTGGAAGTTACTTGCTTTACGCTTCCAGACAAAATTTGATTTGCGCAAAGTCGTGGTGACCGAAAGAAGTTATGATTTTTTGAAAATGGTGCGACAGAACTTTCGGTTCAACCTAATATATTCGCAAATGCTAACCGCAGCACGGAGTCGTGACAATAGTTTAACAAGAATGTTGTGTGCATTTGATGTTAGTTTATGAAAATTTACAATCGAGTCATTTGCAGTTGAAACCCGAGGCACCCCATGATAATTTCATTGTAAAGAGTGAAAGAACGAAAATCTTTCATCTGAAGAGTTATGTTCCAACGAAGGAACAAAAGAAATTATCTGGAATTATCACTTGTAAGGGCATCGTGGAAATTCACCGTAGTTTGCAGTGCCTATATACATGATTTATGAGCGACAATCAACTGATTACTTTGTATTGAGTTGTTTTATTATTAATGTACAGGGTGGGGCAAAAGTCTGGGAGCCTACTTTGCAGTGCTGTAAATCAAGAAACTACCGATGATTTTGACTCCAAATTTGTGACACATATTGCTGCGATCATCCTCTACAAAACACACTTTGGCTGGCTGAAAATGCTTGCTATATGTTTTTGTAGGAGTTGGATTTATCAAACAAGTGCTCTGCGAAACGAGAAAATAGAAATTTTTGTTCTTCACAACTTATTTCGTAACTAACGATACAGTGGATATTCTAAAGCACTTCGATGCGTATAATGTAGAGGAGACTTCGCGCTATCAATTCTTAGCCGTTGCATTTGTCAGATACTATTCTTTTAAAAACGCAAAATAAAAATTTGCGAATACCAGCTGCGTGCCAGCGGCCATTTTTCTCTAAAATAAATTTTAAAGCTATAGGGGCACAGCAGGCACTGAATTCTAGGCCATATTCTTTCCATGAGTCTTTTATGCAAGCGTGTACAGGTGTTCGATCGATCAAGCAATTTCAATACATTTCAGATTACGATTCTTCGCTCCCGTTCGCGCAATCGCATCCAGATTTCCAGTATACGAGTACACTTGCCTTTGATTAAAATTTTAAAATTTTTTCCTGAACACTGCGAAAAAAAATTCTTCGCAGTGCGTTGTAGCCAAAAGCTTGCTCTATCACATCGCATATTTGCCTGGTGAAATAAGCAGTTATCGTAAAGGCGTGGGACGAATTTCATCACCACTGTCTGCGTGCCACGACAGTCGGACTCGCCAAGATTTCAAAGGGCTGCTTTGAAGCCAGAAGAGGCAATCTCAAAATTAGAAAGCAGCGCTGTATTAGTAAAGGTTCAATTTATGTGTTGCCCCAAATTTTTTGTTCCTAGGCACTTTCCTTCTGGTTTTATTTGAAAAGGTACTAGGCTCCCAGACTTTTGCCCCACCCTGTATTAGATTGTCCCAAAAGTAAACTCCATTCTCATATAAATTGAGCTGTTCTTGTTCTCTCAACAGACACAAGGTACCGTTCGATAGAGCGGAGCAAGCTCTACAAAAAGACCGCCAAACATCCACCTGAATCGTAATCCAAGTAAAATCTGAGGCCAAAAATCAAAAATTTTCAGCTACTCTAAAAATCGGATCTCCTTCCAGAGAATTCTACGGACTTCCAACTTAGTCTTTATATAGTTCACACATAGTAGTAACCAAAAAAGTACTTGGTGGATTTTTTTGGGCTCAGAATTGAGAAAAAAGATGGTCCGAAAATGCCAAATGCCACTTTTTTGGTTTTTTTTATGTAAAACTTAGTATTTCTCGAATATAAAAGCGCATACAGGGGTAAGGATTTGAAATTATGCTTAGTAAGGCTTGTAGTATGCAGTGACATATGTGGGAGGCGCTAGGGGCGGAGTTTGCCATTTTCGGACAATTTTTGTTTCTCGCTTTCTATGCTCGGAAAAAATTCGGCAAAGGCGTGTACTACTATTTACCTACGTATAATGACCAAGTTGGAGGTCTGTAGGATTCTTTATCGCAGAAATCCAGATTTCAGGTGACAAAATTTTTTCCAATCTTAGCTTCTAACTTTCCAAGAAATGCGACTTAGGCGGATCCTTTGTAGATATTTTGTAGATATTGATCTGCCCTATCGAATGATGCCCTAAATTAACTGGGAAAACAAAAACAGCTTGAATTATTTAAAAAAGGAGTTTACTTTTGGGACAACCTAATATGTTCCTTGCGATGACTGAGAATTATAAATGTAAAATTTTATATTGTCAAGCTCTACAAGACATTTCAATATTTTAAGAGTTTGAAACATTTGAAGTGTGGAGGCAATCCAAAAAAGTCTCAAGCGTCCAAAAATCGAATTCTCGTCCAGAACGCTTCTGCAAACTTCCAACTTGTCCACGCATTGATAACAACATAGTAAAGTGATTCATATATACAGCTGTTCTACTTTCCGATGGCTGGAAATCGAGAAAACGAAAACTGGCCTGTTTAAAGTCTTCCCATCCCCACATAGATACACCTTTTACGAGAGTTCTTGAGATAATTTCAACTTTAGCACAGAAAAAATCAAAAAAGACGACATCTGTTTCTGATGCTGAATATCGTAGGAGGGTTCCAAAAACTGCAAATTAAGCTTTCTGGTCTGTAAAGTATACTTTATACAAGTTGGAGGTTTTTACAGCTTTCTCGGAAGATCCGGTTTTCATTTTAAAGATTTGTAATTTCGGCTCCTAAGCAGATGTGGGTTTTTGCGAATATCTGGACGCCATCTTATGGAACTAGTTTTGTTTTGCAAACTATTGTGCTTTTCAATTTTTATCCACTCTACGGCGCTTGCGCGCATGGATTGATTCAATCAACCTTACAACTGATAAAAGTCGTTAGTACGCAGTTCCTGCGTTGCTGACAATAATTGCGCGTAAACTAGAGCGTGTGCTGGATGTGATTGGTGCATGGTCATACAGTCATCAAAGCACAAATCGCAAGCAAAATGTTCGCATTTACAAGCATGCCATTTAGTTTCAAATGTTCTCTACCAAACTGTAAATTCACTAAATCTCTATTACACAGATCGTATAGTCCAATTTTTTCGAAGTATCAGTGCATTGACTGATTTTGTCCTGTGATGTAGTACAGTGAACCCACTTCATGAGAGTAGAATAGATAACAGAGTTCAACGACACCAGATGTACTTGATAGTAAAATCAAAGTATAGCCAAAGCTGTGGTAGTTAACTTCAGTGGTGCCATAGTGACTGACACCTACTTAGCTGTCTTGCGATTAGCTGAATTAGCCGATTAGAGCAAAAACTTGTGAACAACCGCTTATGAACGAGACAGTTCCGTTCGTGATGTTTAGTCTGTCATGTCAGCACCACAAACCGAAACTTGACTCGAAAACTATTCAGGGTGACAGATTATGGATGTTCGCCATTGGTCTGTTTCTGCACCAACTCGGAGGCATCACATGGATCGCTATTCATCAGCTGATGGACTCGCTATCCAAGCTGGTGCTCACTCCAGTACTGGGATCCTTGCTGGACAAAACGAATAGGAACAGAGGTTGCTGCTAAGATTCCTCTCAATAAAAAGAGAATAATGCGAAAGAATAATGCGAAGATGTTTTCAAGAGAGAAAAACCTTGTCATCAAACACTCTGCTAAGTATATCTTTCTAAGAAATTTTTGCATGTTGTAAGAAATAAAATTAGGTTGTCACGAAAGTTTTGTCGGTTTTTTTCATCGCTCACCAAAATTCAAAGAACACCAACCCATGATTGGCATAGGTGCCGTTCTGTTCAAATTTTTATCCTCTTTCTTTCAACTATATTTGCTCTCTGATCTACCCCGTCTTTGCGATCTTATCGCCAAGGCTTTTTGAGCACGTCAGATTAGCCCCAAATCTTTCCTGAAATTTAAAAATTTTTATCCTAATATTTTCAAAGAACGCTGGTAACTGTTATGTAGAGCAAACCTTTGGCTACATTGTACCAATTATAGATTACGTGGGCCACGTTTATCATATCCGTATTAGTTATTTATTTGAGAAAAACCGCTTCTTTTTGAGTACGTAAGTATCGAACGCATCTTGAAACTCATTCAGCTCTTTACTGTGCGTGATTTTATAGTGGTTTGAAGAAACCGACAAAACTTCCAGGACAACCTGATACATAATGATCAACAGCCCAACTTTCTGGAGTCAGCAAATGAATTGTTGAACAAAAAAAAAAAAGCAAACATAAATTTGGCGCCTCGAAACTTCTCTACCCCTCCCCTCCCCCGAAAAATCTGGTCTCGTCATTTTCAGAAAAGAATCTGAACGGGCAATGGTTAATCTGTCACGAGGAAATTTAGCTTTTGGAATTTCTGGAGCTTTGTTGTCCATTTAGTTAACATTTCTTGTTGATGAAAGAAAAGCACCTTGAGTTACAGACATTTTTTGCGATATATCAGACGATAGCCATCCAGTTTTTGTTGTTAAAATGTCGGAACCTATTTCTATACCAAATGTTGCAGTCGTTGTTTAAATGTTTCTGTCAAAACGAATCGACGACAAAGTCTGAACATGCTTTTTATCGCTTCAGGAATGCAGGCAGTGCTTTTTGTAAACAACGTGACAATATCCCTTTCGGCACTAATATTCTTCTTCAATTTATCGGAAGCTCACCAATCCGAGGGACATTCCAAAACAGTGAGTGGAAAAAAGTAGTCTAGCCATCTTAAGCCTCTTCTATCACTTTAGGTCTATCTTCTTCTTGCCATATTGTTTGGTTCAATTTCTCGAGTTGCATCTGAAGCTCAGAAAACTGCGTTTACTAAAGACTGGATAGTGGTGGTGATATCTGGGACAAAAGGAGCTCGTTTATCCAGTAAGGATCATTTATTCTCTTACAGGCTGGTAGATTGACGAATAAAATAGTACCCTTGCCATGGCGACAACGCTTGCGCGTAAAATAACGCTAATGTTCTGATTTTCACAGCCTGCTTGCGATTGTAAAAATGACCGCATTGCGCACATTTCCATTTTCTACGCGCAAATGTTGTCGGCAATGCATGAACACCATTAGCCGTCATCACCGGCCAATAATGCATGTCTCGTTTTCCAGCACAAAATGCCGCAATGACGGTAATTGATCAGGCTTCCGCACTTTTGAGCCCAATCATTGCTGGAGTTATGCTTGATTCTATGACAAAGGCCTGGTGCTGCATTGTCATCATCGCTTGGAATATTATCTCATGGAGTGTCGAGGGTTCGCTGCTACTGTGGATTTACAGAAGAATTCCAGCACTTTCGCAAAGATCCGTGGATGCGCAGAGATCCCGCAGCCGTTAGTGCCTTTTTATATATATTGTGTATCAACTGCAGTGTCCTTGCGCTGTAACGCATCCGCACCGCGAGGACCTCCGATCAAGCGGCCGACTTGACTGCGCAAGGCAAACGCCCGCGAACGCCGCGCAAGGCACTCGCAACGCGGATGTGCGTAGCAGGGACATTGCGGGAGATGACTGTATGACATGAATTGAACCACCTTCAGAATCATCAACGAAAGACTCATACAAGGAACGAACTACTTCACCTCTGGCCGCATATTCTGCCTATTGGCGCCAGAGCGCCTTCCGCGCAGCCTTCGGTTTGGCTCTGCTGTACATGACAGTGCTTGGATTCGATAATGTAACACCTCTATCATTGACTCTCTGAACTCAGAGAAAGCAATGAAGTCCTCCTTTTTAGCTGGCCTTATCCTACGGGGCTTCGCAGGGCATGTCCGCCTCCACTCTCGGACTCTTCCGCTCTATCGGATCTCTTCTTGGACTGCTCGGAGCCCTTTCGTACACCGGTCTAGAGCGTTCACTAGGTCTCCTTTGGACAGGCTTAATCGGATTACTGGTGAGATCATCTTTTTTGGCGATATTTTGGACTGATTTGATCATTTCAGCTCCAAAATCTCTTCTTGAACCTCTGCACAGTTTCGATCACATTACCAGGAAGCCCTTTCGATGCCACCGGCTACTTCTCCTCGCTCACCACAACGGTAAGACAACCAAGTCCAAATGGATACTTCACAGCTTCCTTTTTAGAAATGGATTGAGGGCGTAAGGTCGAAGGTTGTTGGTGGTTTGAATGCTACCGAAGACGTCCCTCCTCTTCCATTTTCGCAGCTGAGCCCTTCGATCATAGTTTTCTTCTTCGGAATCACTCTAGCACGATTCGGTCAGCAGAGTCGAACCTTTTGTCTTGAAAAGTCTTTGAATTGACAACTTCCAGGCCTCTGGATTGCGGACCCATCTATCACCCAGATTATGCAGGAAACCATTCCGGAGAGAGAGCGGTACTCAGTATTCGGGGTACAGACGAGCATTTGCGAGCTATTCTCGGTTCTCAAAGATTTGATGGTACGCAGGAAGCAACTTGTTTTTTTTTTCTTTATGAAAATCGCGCATAGGCGGAAATTCTTTCCGAATCAAGAGGAGTGGCTAACACCACATCTTCCAAAAAAAAACTTAGGCTGCTCCTACAATTTCTGTTAACGTATACTTCCAAATTCTGAGAAAGGAGGGATGGAAAGGAAATGAAATATTTACTGACAAAGCTAATTTAAATGAAAGAGATCGTTATCATGGAAAGAACTGCACAGTTTTACAACTCACTCACATCACCGGAATTCCGCGGAGCATTTCCTTGGGTTGTATCCCTTAAAGGCAGCGGCTCGGCAGATTGACCTACCTCAGACTTTGACACAGATGGATAGGAGGCCCTCCAAGTGAACCAAAACAGCAACTCCGCGCCAAAAATGTCAGCTCTGCAAGCCAGGGGGCGGCCCAAGCGCCGCTCCCCTTCCTCCTTTCGCTCCCCTAACACCTTGTTCGGACGAGTATTCTCCGCTAGACGGCGCGGGACCTTCCAACCGCTTTCCCGCATTGTGCATGCTATACAAAGCCAAAATTACAAGCAGCAGGGTCTTCGTGCCAGGGCCTCCCGACTGTCCTTTGAAAATTCTCGTCCGAGCTGCCTTCTGGAAATTGGAAAAAACGCCCCGAAAAAGGCCTTTTCACCCCTTTTAAAGCTCAGCTTCGGGATATACGGGTAAGGCTCAAAACATCAAAAAGATGGAAATGCAAAATCTGCCGAGCCGCTGCCTTTAACCTTTGAATAACGCTCAATTCACCTATCCTCACCAGTAATATACATGATAGTTATAGGCAGCGTCCAGGCAGATCTGGGCCTATGGGAATTTTACGTGGAAAGTACTTTTGGGGCCCTAACTAAGGCACTGCCCAAACGGCAGCGCAGGTAGTGCTCTGACGGCTGAGATATACCCCTTGAAACTGGACCCGGCGATCGTATTCCCATAAATTCATGGCAGTTTCGCGCCAAGATCCACGCATTGCGCCAAGAATCCATGCGAAATACGATCGCGGGGTCCGGTTTCGAGTAATCTCAGCCGTTAAAGCATTACCTGAGCTGCCGGTTGGGCAGTGGCTTAGTTAGGGCCCCAAAATTACTATCCACGTGAGATCCCCATGTGTCCAGACTTGCCTGGACGCTGCCTTTAATGATAGATAAGTACCCTGATAAGTATCTCTGGAGACAACTTTGAAATCCTTGGTTTTAGGTTATCGCTCTTCCGGAGACGCGTAGTTTCGGAGTTTTAATTATCATATCTTGTACATTCGTGTTCACCGGTTTCATTTTCTACTTCTCATACTTCATCAAGGTATGCGTGCTCTTGAACAGGTTGAGAAATAAAATATTTGGAACTGACTTTTACAGAGCACGTGCGCTAGATCCCGATGTCGATCTGGAGGAACGGAACTGAATGACATGAAGCAACCAGAACAAGAACAACTGGTAAAGAACCACTCAGCAGTTGATACGAGTCCTTCCGATGACTGATAGGAATCTGTAAGAGTACTTAGTATTGAGCACTAACCGATTGTCTGTGAGTTCTATGGGTAATTTTGATCACTTACAATTTGCAATCATTGTACGACCTCAAGACTAGATTTTTTTTGATTTTGTCATTACCTTATACCTACTTTGAAACTTCCATTTTATCAATGTCATTCAGCGATTTGCTTGTTGCTCAACATTCTAGAGGCCTTCTCATTGTTGCAACAATTTACTGGTGTTACTGTGTATTTTGAGATTTCAATCATGTGTAAAAAAGATTCTATATTTGTAAGTTAGCATGTTTCAGCACATTGCAAACTCTCATAAGACTCTCATAACTCATCCAAGCAATAACTCTTCGGTTTTGAACTGCATCGAAAATTGTTAGTTTTATTGAAAAGGAGTGGCCCGTCTTGTTTTGCTTAAAGGCACCGTCCACTCAAAATTTCGACCTCCATGTTCTTGCCGTTCCAGGGCCTTCTCATACCCCTGATTCCGAAAATCAAGTTGGAAATCCGCGAAAACTACGAAAAACCCCTGTTTTCGAAACCCACAGAGCGATTTCTTCGGAACGGCGATTGGTTGGGTGCGCACGGATGGGCGGGACGAACGTCACGCCTACCCGAAAGGGGAGGAGCCAACGTGGCGAACCGTCACCTGAAGCGATTTCCGAAGCAATTTTCTCGCTTCGGAGGCAACTTTAAGTAGCGCGAGTTGGGCAATCATACAGTCGTGGCCTCGCAGCTACTAGGTATCATAATCTCACCAACCCCAATTTGAGTGGAGGGTGCCTTTAAGGACCTGCTTCTGATCTGGTCACACTTGATGCTGTTCTACTCAAGCATCAGAAACAAATGTGCACAGCCAATCCAAGAAGCGAAGAGATGACATCCAATAACAATGTCATCACAAAAAGAAAAGCAGGGGGCTCCAGAGATCTATTTTGTAATTGAACTGTCTCAAGACATGCTTGCGCCTATGTTATCCCCTTACCCACAGATATGTGATGCAGCGCTTTTGATAACTTCGCAAGCAGTGCCGAGACAAATCAAATTTCAATTTCATCAGAAAAAACAACGCATATCTCAACAACAGCTATGAACAACCTGTACAAGTAACAACAATTATCAAGAACTATGAGAGATGCATCGACTAGTAAAGAATAGCCTAAACTCTTAATCGGAACCTAATTTACACAAGATTCCAAAGAATCTTTTGATAAAGACACAAGCAGTTCTAAAGAAGGCACTTCTTGCAAGCTTAGAAGCTTTGCCATAAAGCTAATCTCAATTCAAATAAGAAAAAACTTGAGCAGTGTGATGGAACAATTTCTAATGGTTACGAAGGAAGTTGTTGTAAACTACCAGGTAAGTGTTGGCAGCTCTTCTCGCAAAGACTGCATCGCTTGGATCAAGAAAGGCGTCTAGCGACACAGGCTAAACGTATCAAAAACTAGAAGCTATTTGAGGGTTACAGAAAAACGTACTTGGACTTGATTTTCATCTTGCGCATCAGTGCCAACATTTTGATCAGCTGTGGCACCTTCATAAATCGCTCTTCCAAGCTTCTTGAGAAACTCGTGCCTAAACAAGAATGGCCACTCACAGAGCAGTTAATAAAGTTCAAAAGTACCTGTTTCGAATGCTGCTGTGCGAACAACGGAGAATGAATGGATGCTTGACAATCACAGAATTAGGTAGACGCATGACTTTGTGGACGTAATTATAGTTGGCAGTGACGAATTTCGCATCTAGAAATCCAAAACTTAGAGAAAAAAGTAAAACGGTTCAACCCTCATACTCACCCATCATGAACACTCTTGGATCGGATATGATTATTTGCTTGATTTCCTTTGGGGTAAACTCAAATTCTTTGTTGAATAAATTTACTAGGCGCTGTAATCATAGCATGTTCCACAACAAAATGTCAAACAACATCCATCTCACTTACCTGTAATGGCCCTAATCCAAACATTAGAATACGAGCTTCTTTGCGAATGAGGTTTCGCACTTCGTTACCGCTCAACATGAATTGCTGCTGAATCCATCCCAACCGTGAATCCATTGTTTTTACATCAACATTTAACCAATACCTGCAACATACGATAAAGTCCACAATTACTACCCGTAACATTACCTACCTAAAGTCTTTTATTATCTTACATACGTCTTCATTTGAAAACTTCATCGAGTTCAAGTAATTTACCCGGGCCTAAAAATGATAACGAAGAGTCCTTGGCTATCCGAAAAGGATACGCACCTGCATATCACTCAAATCTTGGAGAAGAAAGAAAGGATTGCGGGTTAAATAATCACCCAAATCGCTAGGTTCAAAACCAAGAGACACCAACCATTGCAGCTAAACAAGAGGGAATCTCTATAATCATGAGATGGATAAATTCAGAATTACCTTAGGCTTCACATCTTTGTCCATATCTAAGCGCAAGAGAAACTTGGCAGCATGAGTGCTTTGCTCGATCTAAAAAGAAAGAGTTGGAAGCTCACCCGCGACAACAATAAATCTACCTCGAACAAATTCACACCAATATCAACCAACGCTTGCAGAAGAGGATAATGATTGACGAAAGGGACGAGCGTACGACTATAAACAGGAGCAGCGTGCTTGGAAGGGTCGAATGGATGAGGATTTGTTCTAGAACACCAGATATATACGTATACATCGATACTGAGTATATGGACTATTGTGAATGTTAAAAAAAACAGAAACCTCACATAAAGAGCATTCCACATAACAGAAAATAAAACGAACTCACGCAGATGGAGGAGAGTTGAGATCTGACTCTTTCAACTCCCCTTCATTATAAACTATTGGTCGGAAGAAAACCTTCCCGGTCTTCCGTTTTAACTCCATTTCTTCCGGAGTCAAGCGTTTCGTCTGAATACATGTGAATATACAATGAACTATACTCAAGCACTCAACCGACCAGGGGTAATATTCCGCGACTACCCTCTTCGTTAGCAGTAATGCTGAGATTTGTCATGAGATCTTCGGTTCGTTCTGACCACTCGCGCTCTTCCTCCTCAACCTTCTGCAGAAACTCCTTTTCACTAATTCGTTCCATGGCATTTGGGTCAGCAGATGCTTCTTGACTACCCTGTGGTATTAGTTTAGAAACTTCTTCTTATCTGCAACGATAAACACCTCGGGCAACAGTGCGTTCCTGCTTTTCCATCTTTTGATTCGTTTCCGAGTTTCACGGAGAGCTGCCTCTTTTTTTGCACAAGTTTCGCGTTGCGAGCGGCTCGTACCTTCACCAGAATCATTCTAGAATAACAGCCTTCAAGCAGTTCATCACAACAATAAAAATGAAAATACCTGATCACTTGCATAAGATGCAACCAATTCCGCTTCTTGCAACTGCCGGCATAGGCACCTTATTGTTGTACTAAAACGCGTTCTGAGTATTCGTGCGCTAAACATCTATAAATAATAATCATAAAAAACGAACAAACATCCTAAACTTTCGCCATCTGCAAATCATAATTTTCTACAATTAATATGAATTCAAACAACGTTACTCAAAAAGGTTAGATTTTCCAACACGCAAACATGGACCCCATTTGCAGATCTGAATTCGTCAGGAATCAGAATTTTAACACCTTGTAGTGTTCAGAAAAATTCACACTCTGATATCCCTTCATTCGTAGCCTTTTCTGAGTGCTCCATTTCAGCTGAAAGCTTCGAAAAAAAAAAACATTTTGTTTGCTTTTCAAAGAGCCACTTGAAGATGACTATAGATAAATCATCTGTTCTAGCCCGATCAAATATGGAGGTCGTCGCAATCACACCTCTTTTCCCCTAAGCAAATCAAAATAGTGCATGGAGAGACTTGGGGCGCTATACTACATTAGACCCACAAATCTGTATGGGTTTAGCACGCTGGTCACGAACATTTTCAAAGACCGTGATGGCTATAAGTGGACCAAAATCCCAGCTCTCTGTTCTTCAAGATAGTAAAGGCGATTATTCAAGTTACGCTAAGTAGATGGTATGCATTTTCCTTAGTACGCAAATGGATGTTCAACGCACAATAAACCGCATTCGCAAGCATGCCCCCCCCCCTCTCAGACACATGCAAAAATTCAAAATTACGTACGATCTATTCCACTGCCATGGGAAATCAATGTTCATGACGAGTACGTCAAGTAAAAAAAAGAAAGTTATTTTCTTAAAACGTATCAGCTGCATCACCAAAAAGTAGAAATCAACCTCAACCTGGAGGCTGCCTTCACAGCTTGCTAACTGATGACAACGGTAGATATTAGATGAAACTCTCAGATCCAAATTTCTTTCAACAGCAAACTATACGCAATAGTTTATTGCATTTATCACAGGTGTAATAAAATTCCCACATAGAAATCTGTCTGGTGAATCTCAATCACAGACCAAACCCATAATCACGAGCAGTTAGTTATAAGAAGATAAAACATTCAACACTGAGCAGACTGCAGCCATCGATAATAAAAAGTTCAGAGTTAGTTAACGTGACAACAAAATAACAAATCGGAAAGCGCATGGCATGTCAAGAAGAACAACTGAATTTAGTGCTACGCATACAGGATAGAAGGACCCGAAAGTTCTATACAAATTTCTACTACCTATAACAATATAATGGAGAGTGCGATTCAAATTCGAGATAGGTGTTTGACAATGTCGACCCAATCCCATCCACGCTCTTTACCCGTACCTTCATTCCTGTCCCACATCCGCCTCTTGGCCGCTTTTGTCATCGGCCCTTCCTTTTGACGATCTTCCACCTTTACTATTTCCTCACTGGGAGCTTGCGTCTTCCAGTGAGAAGTTAACTCGTCGAAATTCGAAGAAACATAATCAATCAGTGTGAAAGAAACTGCCATACCCTCATTTTCTTTTGCGACTTCAAGTACCTTGCCTCGAATCTCCTGCCGTACATTGTCGTCTATGTGACTATTATAGAAAACATCCATGTTGATGTTGGGACAGACTTCAGGATAGTCCGGTGGCCATTCGATTTCCATCACAAAGCTTTTCGAAGTGTCAGCGCCGAATTTGTATTGAATGCGGGTATCACTCATGACTTTGAAGTTTTCGTCGGCATCATAGATGGACTGCAGCACTTCCATTTCCGTCACCTGCTCTTCATTCGGCGGCATCTCGAAGTGTTTGCCACACTCCTGCAAACAAAATTTTAGAAAATCAAAGCAGAACCGAAAGATATGAAATATTCTACGACTACATGAAATCTCAACTGCCTTTTGAGAAACAACACATGAGCGAAGAACGCTACAATGAGACATAAGTCATATATAATCAGAACCGACAAAACATAAGTGCAATCTTTCATTACAGAAAAACTTGCTTGGAGGAAATACGCAAAGCAATCCAAAAAAGTCCTTTCATGCAGAAGATTTCAGAAGCTGGGAAAGATTGAGGACCAGTAATAAATACCCTCCACGCAATTTAAAAAACACCGAGTTCCACAATGCGCATCCCAAATTTTTTTAGTCTTCTGTGGAAACAGATTTGTATGAGGAGACGGGCACTATACACTACAAGCCCATTATGAGAAACCTATTGTCGCGCAAGACCACGTCTTTGGACGGTAGGTATACGGCAAGGGCTTCAACTTCGTAGACTGGGCATGGAGGGGAACGGAACTTCCACCCAAAAATTTGCCCTAGCTCAGCTCAGAACTGTCAGCAACGCTGTAAGCATCCGATTTGCACCGTGGCGGAGCTGATATGCACATTCTAGCCCTGCCCTCATCCTGCAATGCATGAAACCGTAATTTCGTTAACTCAAAACTTCAGAAGCTTTTTTCTTCTCATTGGGATAAATAATGGTATTTAACACATTCACGACAAGGATGACTCTCTTTCATTCTCGATGACTGCCATTTTAGATAGAGCATATTTCGCAATATTGACTTTGCATAATATTATCAAGTCACTGATGGGTCTTCTGGTCTGAAGTGTTAATCATTTGGGAAGTATTCCAAGAGGTGTATACAGAAGTTTACTCAATTTGCTCTAGAAGTTTCAACGTAAACTAGCAAAATAAAAACTTCAGGAAGCATACAACTCACCGGTGGGTCGTATTGTCCGAAATGGCAGGACAGGTACGACCCACCGGTGGATTGTATTGTCGTGAATGTCCTAAGGTTTTCTACCACAGTGTTTCCAAATATGTTGGTGATTTTGCTTAAAACCTTGAATTTTATCAAAAATGCGTTTTTCATAAGTTTCACTGCAAATTTTGAAGATCTATTTGTTTCTGTCATAGTGTTCCCAATATGCTGGTGGTTTTGTTGGAGACTTTTGGAGTTTTTCTTTTGAGATATGGAGTTCCTTATAAATTTTGAACAATCGAAAAATTCCGAAACAAACAGCTGATTCCAACTATCAATATAACACGCTCCACTGCTATTTTCGAATTCAAAGATGAAAACGAAATTTTAGTATTCTCAGTTCTGACGTTTACTTCCTCGAACAAAAATCTGTTTTTAAGTAAAACAGGCTTTATGCAAATCCACCAGCATATTCGGGAACACTATGAGAGAAAATTCCTGCAACTTTTTCCCCGATCGGATATTTTAGGTTTGGAATTTCAAAATCTCGGTTTCATGTATCACAGGATGAGGGCAAGTTACTAGGTGCAGGAATCAGCTTTGTTACAAAGGTGTTAGATGTGCAAAGGTGTTAGACAGCGTTGCTGACTGTTCATAACTAAGCGGCAAGTCTAAGCGGATAGGAATAAGAGGGTGGATAAGTTTCCTTACTCGGCATGGAAGGTTCGTTTTTAGACAGATAATACGCTGATGTACTGTACTGGTTACGAATGCACTTATGTCTAAGGCAGACGGCCTTGCCAACGTGAAATCTGCAAGCTGCAGTCGGCTGGATAATTTATACTGGAAATTCTGATTGCACAGGAATCACCTTGTCACAGACTTGCAATGTTATTTACATTCAAATCACAAATGCATAGTACTTGAACTGCCAACTTCTCGCGCACTCTCGGGTAGGTAAACCGTACAAATTCCGCTCTCTTCATAGAAACGACTTTTGTAAAAAAAAGTCAGAGGCACATGTCGTACCGCTAGAACTCAGAAACCAATCCGAGATATTACCGCCAACTTAAATGACTAACAAATCGCAATTCCCAGTTACTTCCATTCTTTACACTTATCACCGACAATCCACGCTTTGTCTCAACAAAAAAAGAAAGAAATGGGCCGTAATCAAAGCAGCCTTTGCTTCATTCAAAGTCGAACAGTACTACAGGGAGAATGCTGCGACAGATGGAATGAAGAAGACATTTCTCAGACTTATCATTCTTTGAAATGCGCCTCGAGTCAGCATTCGGCAGAAAAAGAGGACAAGATCATACTTCATACAAGCTTAATAAAAAAGGTCTAAGAAATTCAAGAATGGAGACTGTAGAGAGTAAACTCGCAAAGATCAAAGGTAACTATCCTATTTTGAGAAGAAAATAGAAAAATGAACTTCTACTCATGAGACCCCACATGCCATCTGGGGGACGGTCAGGAGGTACGATCGGCGCGAAATTTTCGCGAAGCGACGCCGCAACGTACTCCAGCCGATACAACAGTAGCGCTCCTGGCGCAGTGTTACTTAAGGCATCCAGTCATGTATCTGCCCCATCCCCACCCCCCTGTTTTTGCCGCGGGGAATCTTCAACAGCGGGGGTTTTGTGGGCCCCAAGATTCGAACGCAGCGGAGCGGCCGCCGCGCGCGGCGTACTTCCTGACGTGCAGCCCATGCCATCTAGGCTATGCGCTAACCAGTACCAAGTACACACGGTAATAACCAACTGGGAAAGCATTAAAACTTCCTTCTATTGCAAAATTATTTTGAAAATGAAAATCGAGTTGGGCAACTCGTCCATCTATCATCGAAAAGTCGCACAATCCGCGCAGGACCGTGCAGCTCGAGCTTTCACGCTACACGATGCGCACACCCACTGCATACCGTAGTCCAATTCGACACAGCTCGCTATCGTACTTTAGTGTTCGTTGATCAATGCCACATGTACATCGGCCACACGAGATATGAACGCCTTTCGATCTGTTCACAAGCGGGTCAATTGCCGAAAATGGCAGACATTCCTTTCTCTTCATTTGTCATGATGATGTGCCAGAGTTACATGACTACTATTGTATCTCACCTCTTCTTTGGTTCCCGTCTTCTGCGCAAGCCTCAAATTTCTGTGTATTTCTCGCCCTTTATTTGACATTTCAGAAAACATGGCTCCAAAGCAACGTATGAATGTTGCCAATTCACAATTCAGCAAAAACGTTACTAATCGCGGAAATGTCGCTAAATCCCTGGTGGGTTGGATGGATAATCCGTTTTTGTTCCAAATTGGAATTCATACTTTCGTTCCTTTTTTCATTGACTTATAATCAAGGAAGCTTATGATATCACCAAGTGTTATCTTCCATTCATCTTTCTGTTGAAATCACTTTATCTACTTCATCACATGATTGTACAAACGTGCTACGCAAGAAGCTCATTCTTTCTGCTAGATTTTCCATTCGATGGTTTCATCGAAATAACACATGTTGCTCATTTCGATCGGCTTGGTCTCTATATCTTGTCATATTATTCTCATACAGTCCTAGCCAATACAGTTATTTTACGGTATTCAGTCTGTTTTTGAATTTTGTCACATTTTCGAACATAACTTGAGAATAATGCAAGGTCTTGGGGAAACCATTATCCGTCGGAATCCGTAGGTCTTGGTTCCATTTTTGAAAACCGGGAGATTCCATATTCTGACCTATTATTGATTCACGACCCGTTTATAAGTATGCATTCAGAAACCCCAAGAAGACAAGTATCCAGCCGCTCCTTGGCTGATTGGACTCTTCGTATTTGTGGTTTGCGGGTCAGGTAAGCAGAGCAGTGATTCTCGCAGAAGGGTCAAAAATCATGACTGTGATTTCAGCTATCTTTGAGATCATTCGGTACGTGAAGATGGGATGGTAGATAAAAATCCAAATGCTAGCGCATTGCATCCTCATCTTCCCTTATGTCCCCCAGAAAGAAGGCTATTTACGAAAACGTGCCGGTCAGAATGTGATAAAACATACTTTGTATTTAATTTTTCTTTTTTCCTCGTTTGTGTTGGTTAACCCATACATCACGTAAAGTCACGTGCGAGTTGAGTGGTTCAGCTACTGAATCAACAGTTTCAGTCTATTAAGCAAGTGATTTTTGATGCATAGTCTTTGGTTATATCAATAAGGTAATTATTATACACTTTATGGTTTTATTGACATTTTGTCTGTTTTTTTTATCAGATCTATTTTTTGCTTTTGAAGAGTTTTATCCAAGAGTGCTTAAAATGTTCATTGATTTTTAGTCATTCTTGTTTTGGTATCTGGTATGATGTTGAAGCGGTTGCGTTTTTCAAATGAAGATGTGTCAGTGATTCAAAAGTCTTTTTTCAAAGGAAGTCGATTACAGGCATCATAATCTATTAACTGCGTTGTCATCACGCAAGTATAAGGTTAGCAAAAAGTTATAGAATGAGACAATAAGTGTACCATTAGAGCAGTCTGTTTATAGTATCGGTGAGAGCTGACAGAATGCTAATTATTACGAGTATTGTGACAAATACTAGTCAGAATAATTCCTACTCTGCAGCTTGATAACCTACTCAGTTTCCATTGTGAAGGTGGGGTGTGTGTTCTGTGATTTCAATCCTTTGTATTTGTTTTTCTTTCTTTTTATGTGTAGCATATTTAGCGGCAACAGATCTGCAAGAAGATGTGGAATTGTGCACTGCACGACAAGACTTTTAAGGAACGCAGCTTACAGTTTCAGCTGTAAGCTGCGTTTCTGTCTCATCCCGGATTAGTTCAAACGCATGATGCGCGTTCGCACCGCTATTGGTTTCATATGCAAAAAGTTAACGTTATTGAACTGGCTGAAAAGCTTATTTCCTTTAGTTATATGATAAAGTTGTGGATGATTGACTTATTTTGTGCATTTGCACCATAAGACGGAATGCTTCTAGCACCTTACCAATATGGCAGTTGCTCAGCCTGTGGCAAGCAGCTGTTTCTTCTAATAAATTTTCCATCGAAGGAAAAGGCGCTTAAGGCATGTTCACGTGTTGCGGCATATTGAGCTGTGGCAGTAGTCAAAAATCGCTTGCGATTTTCGATGCAGTCTTGTAAATCTTACGATTATCCTAGTGCCCCATGCAGTGGCCTTAACTTCTGCACGGGAAAAGGCCACACTTGAATACCAACAGCTTGCTTGCTTGGGACTCGCTCCTGGAAAAATGGCCTTGGAGCGCACAATTTTCGCTTGCTCGCAAAGGTCGGCAACGCGGAAACTCTTGTTATGAAGCGTCATGTCTCTAGTTGAACATGCATTAGGCCCAGGTCAGACTTCACGCGACTTAATCGTCGCGATCTAATCACCAAGATTTCCATTCATTTTCATTTCACATTCAAAAATTTCGGGCTGGAAAAGTATCACAACCGAATGCAAGTTGATCTGCATGGAATGGTGTTGTAACAGTTGTCTCGTCGCAATTCAGTCGCGACGATCAAATCGCGTGAAGTCTGCCCGGGGCCTTAGGTTGGTCTTCACTGTACAAGTATCATTCATTCTTTGACTAGGAGACACGAGTACGCTTTGCATACGTTTGGTCAACAAGTGAGTAAGTTACAACGCGTTTTGGTTGATTCACTATTAGGTTTTTGCAAGAACATGTTCGAGCTCGTCGAACAACGCGAGTTCAGACATGTTTTTCCAGGTATCTCTAGTAATGATTTACAAAACGCTTCAAACGCCCTCGTAACTTTGTTAATCATACATACGGAAAGTGTGCTCGTGTCTTTTAGTCAGAAAATGAATGATAACTTATAATCTTCACACTCTGTGATGACAACATCATCTCCTTCATCTTATCTATCTTGCTTTTCAACGGAATTTTTTGATGCACAGTATACTTTGGAATATTCGAGAATTTTTTCGAATAATCGAATAACCGAATATATTCGAAAATCAAAAATGTCGAATAATCGAATTTCGAATATTTTTAAAAACAAAAAATGTCGAATATTCGAATATCGAATATTTTCGAGAAACAAAAATGTCGAATAATCGAATATCGAATATTTTCGAGAAACAAAAACGTCGAATAATCGAATATCGAATATATTCGAATTGAAAAAAATCCGAATATTCGAATATATTTGAGAAAAACAATCCGAATAAACGAATATTTTGCATCGATTTTGTCGAATATTCAAACAAATTTTGATCGAATTAGCACAATAAAGGGCTCCATGCAGTGGGCAACTTGGTCAACAACCGATGGTTGCTGGTATAGCAATCAAAATTGTGACGCTGTCATTTAGTTATTCGATTATACGAAATTGTCGAATAATCGAATAACTTTTGAAAATAAATATCCGAATGTTCGAATATTTTCGAAAATCAAATTTTTCGAATAACCGAATAATCGAATAATTTCGAAATTGACAAATTTCGAATAAGCGAATATCGAATATATTCGAGATTTTTAAATTTTCGAATAATCGAAAATTTATTCGAATACTTTATTCGAATACTCGAATATTTATTCGATTCGGTCCAAAGTATAATGCACAGCTGCTAGCGCTTTGTAAGTATCTATGGGCGGATTAGAAGCGCTTACTGCTGGTTGGTTTCTCCCTGCTGCCGCTTATGTATGAGATTGATCCTCTTAGGCATGATAGACCGATGAAGTTTTTACGAAATGGGTGAGTTATTGCCTGAATGAGTCGATTGACTGCCTAATAGTGCACCCAGAGCGTACCGGAAGAGGACTGGTTGTAATGTTTCTGCTCTACCTCAAATGACATTTACCTATAGTTACGCTACCAATAAGTGTGGGGTTGCAATGAGGCAATTCTGGTCAGTGGGCGAGCAACGTGCGTATGAGGATCTAGAGTTGGTCTCACTCGGAGTGCCGTTTGAGCTGCACTGCGACCGTTTGGCAAGGCCTTGCGTGCGAATGTAAATCGTTGAGAGGAGGTGCGCTGAGAGCACAGCCTCAAAAAGGGGTGGCTGCCACACCTTTTTGGGGTTATGCCACACCTTAACTGGTCACAAAAACAATCCCAGCGAATAATGTTTATATGAATCAATAGCTTAAACCTCGTAGATTTCACAGAAGTGATTTGAGCCTGACTCTTCTTCTTTGCTAGTTGGTGAACAATGAGCTACAATGTGCTCGCCGCCGGTACTCCACGAGATAAGAGATACTCTGTGACGGTAGGAATAATCAGGCTCTGAAAATATCTTTCAAACATAAGTTTTGTAGACCTTGCGCGCTGAGATCCTAAGATACAAAGAACTACTAGATGGTGTGGGTCCCTCAGAGAATCGCGGTCTTGGCCTTGGCGGTGACGGCGGCGGCTCCGGCGGCATTGGTGGGTGACGAATATTTCGTAAGTTTCTCTAAAAAAACGTTGTTTCGCCGATATACTCAGACACTCGCTGTTGACTCGCGCAGCCCAAAGTTTTGTGTAAGCGCTGAATGAAGGCGCGACACAAGTAATCGGCCTCGCGACGAAATTCCGAGACAGCATTATGTGTCGGAACAATGCTGCCCGAGACCACGCTTTGACGCGACCCGCATCTTGCAGGAAATACGCGGCAGCTCGAGGGCGACATCCTGATGTTCGGACGCAACTGGAGCGCGTTATCTCGCACTAGTAATTTCGCTATATCCCTACTTGCTGTACATTACATATATGTATATACTTACATGTATATGTATAAATATACATTATATATACATATATATGAATGTACATATATGTATATATGTGTACATAAATATATGTATATATGTACGCGTATATATATGAATTCTACAAAGTCTAAACTAACCAATTTATTACTTCTAATGACATAAGGATTAATTGGTAACTTCATTAGCACATAGTGAATTTACTTCAATCTTAGGAACATTTTAATGTTCCTAAGATTGAAGTAGTTATGTTAGAGTTATGAGTTAGAGTCATGTTCAGTGGAGCCACGCAAGAAAATCAAATAAGAACTTCGGGGGAGTCAAACTACTATGTTTACTATCTTAAAGTTTCACGATATGGTGAAACATGATGAGATAGAAGTGTACTTGGTAATCTTCTAAACAATGAGAATCTCGGAATGCAATTAAGTGATACGCAAAAGCGGGAGTAGAGTTAAGGCAAATGGTATGATAGTGATATGTAAGTACAGCAAATTAGAAAAAAGTAGTAGCAGATCGACTAAAACTCGTCGGGGCTGGTCTTTTCTAGTTCCTTGACAGCAGAAGAGCTGCTTGCCGTAGTCTCGATTACACGCTTCTTCTGAAAAGAAAAAAACCATGTCGACGAAGACTGGGAATAAGTGCACTGATATCTTACCTTTGGAGGAAGGAGTTTAGCTCTTACCGGATTCAGTGCATAAGCCCGTACATCTCCCATCTACGTCTCCATCTCCATCATCATGCCTTGAAATACCTTGAATGCCTCAGATGTTCCCTAAACCAATGTAATACGAACTCAAATTCCACAATCCCACAATCACGGAGATAGTAGAGCTTCGATTTCTAAAGAAGAAGCTTCAAAACTGGATTTCAAATAAACTTAATTTTGGATTGGAATGAAATAATGGAAAGAAGAGGGACGGTGGGATGGATGGAATGCACGAATTGAAAATAGGTAGCAAAAAAAACCTGGAATGATGCAATATGAGCTGAGATTTGAAATGCGCGTCGATATTGCGAAACTGCTCTCTGAGTCATTCATCATCTCCCGATTTACTCCGCGACCATCCGCAAAAACTGTCAAAATATTGTCTCGCGCATGTCTACGCCCTTTCCCGCGAATCCCTCAAAAAGGGGCGGATCTCCGGCGCGAGTCAACAGCGAGTGTCTGAGTACGATTCGGGCGGATATCTGCCACAAATCGTGCTTTTCTACTCCAGCAGTCCGCACAGGCGGAACAATGCAATAAAGACTAATCACTGTTCTTTTTTCTTATTCAGAAGGCGCCTCCAGCATAGTTGGTGGAGTGTACGAGCCTTACAGAACAAGAGGGGATATCGGTGGAACTGTCGAAACCCGTGACTACAGGTACACATCCTCCACAACCACATCCCGAAATGGAGGTATCGGTGGCGGTGTGACTGTCACCAGCACGGCTGATTACACCTTGAGAGATGAGCGAGGTTCCAGAACTGGTGTTGACTACGCGATGCAACGCTCAGCCCAGGGGAACGTCACGATCGGGGTGGGCTCTCCTTTAGAATAAATTTAACTTGTAAGCTTAGCTAAGCGTAATTGCTCTAGAGAGTGGCTAGAGACGGGTCCTATGTGACCGTCGAGAATACTTCCCCGGACATTGACCAGCACATTGGTGAATGGACGCTCCGCAGTACAAGCTCCTCCCTGAAACAAGTTTCATACACCTTCCCTCGTGGATTCATCCTAGCCCCTCGAAGCACCGTCCAGGTACGATTTTTAAACGTATAACGTCGTATTGACGCTCAGAATGTGATAGTCTATTGACGACAACATTCGCGCGTAAACAAATGCCATGCATGCATATACCGGCAAATTGCTTGCGAGAGGCGCGTGAAAAAGAGTCATGCGAGCCCACGTTGCCAAAAGCCACGCGAAAATGTTGTCGGCAAGCAGAACACTACATTGAGCGTAAAATAGGCTATACACACGATTTTCGAACGAATCCCCTGAATTAACTGTAGGTCTTTGCCCGTGGAAAGGGCATTCACGATCCACCCTGTTCGCTTGTATGCGAGGTTGAGAGCACATTCGCAACGGGCGAAGATCTGGCCATCTACCTTTACGACAACAATAACGAGGTAAAAAATTACAGTTCTTCAATCTCAATTAGCAAATTTTAACAGACCAAGGTTCCTTCTCAAAATAAAATTTTCTCAGGAACGTGCTTGTCTCACTCAACGTGGGTTCTTCGCCACAGGTGGTGATTCTGCATTTTAACTTGATGTCTACAACAAAACTGCCGTCTGGCACCTGCCTGTTTTTCGTTCTGTTATATTGGACGAACAATATCCGAAAGATTGTATTTGCTTGCTCAGATATAAATCATGTAGTCATTTGTCTGCAGTCTGCATGTAAAAGGTTAAGATCCTGGACGATGTATCTCAATATGTATGAAAAATGAATAAGAATATGAGAAAAGTTACATCTTTCGTGCGAAGGGAGTCCGCATCTGCAGAAAGAGAACATTATATCTTATTCGCCTATGTAATTGCTTCTCATGTTAGAGATGAAGGAAAATAACATTTCCATTTGCTTACCGAGAAGGCGAGGTTTTGCTTCGGCTCGTAGGCCAATAATGTGCAAAAAAGTTCTGTCCTGCTCCTCCCCCACCCCTCAAGTTTTACATATTCAAGTTTGCATGAGAGAAAAGACATAAGAGCAGGGCTCGGCACGAGGTGCCTTCAGTTGGCAAAGACGGCGTCGCTACGGAGCTGTCGCGTTTCGCGCATCGAGCGCTCTTTTACCTCTCTTGCCGTCTGCTGTCTCTCGCATGCAAGAATTATCTTAGTCCGCGCAAAGACGTCGAGTCGGTGCATGCGATGAATCGCCTATAGCTTCCCGAAAATGTCAAAAACGAAGTCCCCGTTGACCCTAAATCCTAAACGTGGAAAACCCTCAAGAAACGAAGCGTCAACTTAAAAAGTAACCTCGGTTGTGGTTTTTCCGGCCACAAAAACGATTTCCCCTTTTTTTTGTCCTAGACACGATATCCAGGCTTATAAAACACCTGTGCCGAACCCTGCCTAGAAGACGAAGTTTATTTTAGTGACTGAATGACTGGGTAATAAATTGTGGTCCTGCAGTCTCTGTTTTTCGCACTTTTTTTGTTATTTATTTGGATGGATTATGTATCTGAGTTTGTCTACTACGAAAAAGATTGTAAAAATAAGTTCTGCGTCTAACGATAGCACTACTTGAAGGTTATGTTAGCGGGCAACATATCCATATAGCATGTCTAACTCTGTAGACAATGTTTAAGCGAATTCCGAAGTTTCAAGATACTGGGTCACCCAAATGAAATCGCCATTTTCCAACATGATTAACTTTGTTTCAAAGGTGAAGTAGCTAACTGTTTTTGCACTCAGTACAAGGCACTACTCCTTCTTTGGCAACTTCAGAAATTTCGCTACAAAAGACCTCCAAACTTTGAAATTGGAAGCCAGCGAAAAACATGTTTTTCCTATTTTTCGCTTTCAATAGCTGTGCTTTCCAATACTACCCAGAGCTAAAAGGACGAATTAGGCTCAAATCACTCCTATGAAATTTGCGAGGTCTACGCTATCGACTCATATAAATAACGTTCGCTAAAAATGTTTTTTTGATAGAGTTAATGGGGTGTGGCACCATCTCTAAAAAGCTGTGGCTGCCACAGCTTTTTAGGGGTGGTGCCACAGCTGCGTTTTTTATATCGTTGTTACTGCCTAACCTTCTTCTTACAACATCTTGTATGACGGGCCTATTTGACATTGTTAACGAATATCAAGTTATGCGAACAGCGGACGCCTTGATAGCGACCCCCCCCCCCCTTCCTGATTCCTCAATACGACCCCTCAGATGTGGCATGCCACCCCACGCTTGACCCTGGTCGTGACTTCACAAACAATGGGATTTTCGTAGATACTACGTGGGTTTGTGCGTTCACCTATGACAGGGGTAACCCGCTTCCGGAACCCACTAGCTTTGTGAAAACCGGTCTCGTGGGTTAAGTTACTGGGGAGACCAGTTCATTGATAAATATGGCTACTAGTTCTCAAACGCTAGCTAGCATATGCAGTGTTGACATGCTTCATACAGAGCAGCTGTGGACAACCCAGCGGACGCCGGCCAAAGAAGAGGGATATTTGAGGTTAGAAGGAGAAGACCCTGATCAATGCTGCAGAGCGTTCTCTCATCATGGGATCTCTCTCCATCCTTCACTCTTCTGTTTTTTCATGTCGTACTGATTTCACCTAATAAATACATTTATCTAAGCCGTGCGCTGTAAATTAGTTGTTATTATATTCTATACGCTAACTCTTGATAAGCATGCGAAAAAGGACCAGTAGTGCGCGCAAAATGGACTCCTGTCAGATGGGTGTAGGCCCTTTTGAACCCTTCGCGCGCGATGCCCGTTTCGCCGCATGCGGCGCCGCTGGCAGAGCTAACAAGTCGCATTCACAGTCAACGGGGAGTATTCTTAGTTTAAAGCATGCAGTATACCTGTGCCAAAACCTATCACCATGTTGGACACAAAGATGTACAAAAATGATGCTCTGTCCTACTCACAGCCTTGTCAATGGCAGTGGACATATTGACCAATCAGAGGCGCGCCGTGAGCTCGTTATCACAGCGCGCCTCTGATTGGTCAACATCCAGTGCCTTAACGAGTTAATACTTGTTCATTTTTGTACATCTTTCGTGTCCAACATGATGATAGGTTTTGGCACAGGTATACTGCATGCTTTAAACTAAGAATACTCCCCGTTGACTGTGAATGCGACTTGTTAGCCCTGCCAGCGGCGCCGCACGCGGCGAGACAAGCGTCGCGCGCCAAGGGTTCAAAAGGGCCTACACCCCCGTTTCCCCTGTCAGATTGGTAGTGTTAGGTAGTAGGCCTCCCAAGCACCCCGTAGCCCCGGCTGGTGGAGTTTTGAGGCTGCTTTACAGGACTTGGCGCATGTTTTGGAGGGTGGTCATGGGGCTACGTTGTACTTGAGGGGTTTACTACCTGAAACTATCAAAATCTGATACAGGTCCATTTTGCCGATCCAGTGCCTTGAATGGCGGAATGCATTCCTCTACTTCGAATACACGAATACACCCGAGGTTGACACACCACGCAAAAAAAAAACAAAACTGCTTGCGCCACTGTTCCACACATATCAACTGCAACGGACCAAGTGCCAGAAAAAACATTTTTTTGTACTCTAGCACAAAAGTCGGAAGGAAGCTACATTCTATGCCATTCGTAACTCCTTATCCTTGCGAGTAAGCGGCGCAGAGGAAATACTGCTGATGAGTTCCACCCTCGGACTAGTGTTGCTTGGCCGGTTGGGCAAAGGACCAGAAATTCGAGATAGAAAATTGGCGGTGTCCATCCTTTATGAGGGGTTGTAAGATGGACCGAATGCATAGCTCATGAGAAAAGGACCTTTTTAGTTGACACATACTGTGCTCTTATACCTTTACAAATGGTACGTTATATAGTAGAATAATATAGAAAGACATGTGGCTAGTTCGATCTGCACAAATTCCCGGAAAAAGCAGGTCTGGTTTTCAATGTTGTGCACTCGGACGCTCCCACCTTCCCTTGCTTTCGAAGTAGACAGCGCGGTGGATCGTAAATACCAAGGTGCAGGAGAAAATTGCCATCAGCATAAAATTTTATCAAATAATCTTCTTAATTTTACAAAAATGGTCGCTGCCTCTTAATGTCTTCCAGAGGTCACATTATCCTTGACGAGCTCAAGAGGAGAGCTCTATATTGAAGCGAATCTTGGACTGAACTCTCAGTAATCACTTTCTTCCTCATCCTCTTCTTCTATTCGATTGCTGTTCATTGTTCCCTTCTCTTCGCTCATCCATCGCTCGAATTTTGAAAAAATTCTGAAAAAATCTTCTGTTATTTCTAGACATGAAAGCAAAGGATTAGTAGACTTACTTCGAAAAGGTAAACTCAACGCCATGAATTGATCTCTCAATCTCATGCTGCACTTGAACATACAGAGTACTCATAAGAGCTAGACCCGTAATTGTGATGATGTAGGGGATTATACCGCTGAAAAAATTATAATAAATCAGGAGAAGCATATTTGATGACCATAGCCCTTTGTAATCTTATATATAAAGCTGAATGTCTGTTTGTATGTATGTATGTATGTATGTATGTATGTCTGTCTGTCTGTCTGTCTGTATGTATGTCTGTCTGTCTGTACGTATGTTCCGAATAGAAAATTCCATTTCTGAACCGATCCGGACCAAACTTGGCACACATACACTTCGGGCCCCGGCGGGTGTCATAGGCTACTTTTCGTCATCGATCGATATCGATTTTATCGATTTTTATCGATTTTTTTTGCTGAGTTCACCTACGGGGCTGGGAGTTGGCACAGGGGGGTAATCGAGCATGGGGATTCCGAATACAATATTGGTTTCAGGATTATCGATTACTTTTATCGATTTTATCGATTTTTTTGCAAAGTTTGAGCTACGGGGCTGGGAGTTCGCACAGGGGGGTAATCGAGCATGGGGATTCCGAATACAATATTGGTTTTCGGGATTATCGATTACTTTTATCGACTTTATCGATTCTTTTGCAAAGTTTGAGCTAGGGGGCTGGGAGTTGGCACAGGGGGGTAATCGAGCATGCTGATCATCCCCAAGGGGATGATCAGCATGCTCGAACAGGCAGGTCAAACTTTACAAAAAAATCGATAAAATCGATAAAAGTAATGGACGATCTTGAAAACTAATATTGTGTTCGTAATCAGCATGCTCGATTACCCCTCTGTGCAAAATCCCAGCCTCGCATGTCAAAATTTACAAAAAATCGATAAAATCAATAAAAGTAATCGATAATTCTGAAAACTAATATTGTATTCGGAATCCCCATGCTCACTTCCCCCCCTGTGCCAACTCCTAGCCCTGTAGGTGAACTCTGCAAAAAAATCGATAAAAATCGGTAAAATCGACATCGATCGATAACGAAAAGTGGACTGTGACACCCGCCGGGGCCCGAAGTGTATGTGTGCCAAGTTTGGTCCGGATACGGCGGAGCCGGGTAAGCCAGCTAGTAAAACATAAATTATTAGATGCATCTTAAAACGATAATTTAAAATCTGCTTCCACTGTCTGCTAAGCTAATTTGAAACAAGTTTGAAACGTTGCCCATGAGAAATTATACTCTTTCAATTAAGCAAAAATCATTGAGCTCGCTCAAATTGCTTGTTTCGCTCCTTGGAAGGACAATTGAAGAAGAGCGCATTCACCTTGAGCTTGGATTGTCTTGGTTACGATTACCTTCAGAATACTCAGTTATCATTGATTTTATCTATGCTCTAGCATGCAAAATTCTGCGGAAAAACGCTCATAACTTATTCAGACAATCGCTTAGCAGATAGCGAAATCAGATTTGTAATCATCGTTTCATGACCCATCTAGTGATATGTGTCCCATCAGAATGGCCACGGTCACCAACTACCCTTCATTCCCTTGTAAAAGATATATAATGGCACGCTTGATGTCAGACAGCTCAGACAATCGATATATTGATCGGAGTGCTGAATCGGGGTTTGGGAGCAAGCAAACTAAAGTGGTTTTAAAAGCGTTCCAAAATAAGTTCAAAGAAAGATAATCAAAAAAAAACAGGAGCCCTCATCCTGAGCCCTTTGACGCCTTGTGCAAGAATTCAACCCACAGTGATACGAGTAATCTAAGCAGCAGAATGTCATGATTGACATGCTTCTACTTTCCATCGCTGCTTTTCTAATTAACGTAGGAACTTATATGAGAAATATGCGTCAAAAATGCCAGACATGCTTTGAAATAGGAAAGAGATGAGGAGCAGAAAACGGGCGAGGTAGGTGGGAAATTTAACTAACCATTGTGGTGGAAAATGGGAAACTGTCGTATCTCTTCATAATAAGATGGAAGAAATAAATTAGGACCAGTGGATGCTATGATGAAAAGTACAATTATTATCAATAGATGATTAGCGGGGCAAGATCTATTATATCACGCAATGCAAGATTGAGATCCTCTTTAGCAAAAATACGACATGATCATATAAAGCCGCAATGCATGAGTTACTTGAGTTAATAGCAACTAATAAATCAAAGTGACCCGATATCTACAATATCACTGACGTAGGTCACTTTTACCCTGCACTTTCTTTGGCACTTTTCCGTTATTCGGACCCATTTTTCAAAATGTTCTCATGAGAATGTGCTTTAGCCTAGAATTTTCTTTTCATATATCCTATGAGGACTATCTCTCTGCCACGTGTCAAGATAAAGATTGACAGTTTATTATGTTTAGTCATTTTCGCTGACAAAAAGGTCCGTTTGGTCGAAGTGGCCTTTTCACATGAAATAGATACAACTATAAGGAGCATCGAACTTTGATTTCAAATCTGTCTTCGTTATTTGCCGAGCGCCTCTGGACTCGAGTTATGAGCGTTTTTTGAGTTGGAAAGAATGCATAATTAGCACAAAATTCGTCAGAATTGCTCAAATGTTCCAATGTTGATTATAAGAGCACACCATTTAAGCAATACCTTCTGTCGAAAACACTCATACTAACAATGTTTTATTTTAGCGTGGAAAATACGTAAAATTTGATTTTACCTAGATTATGCGTTCATTCTTTGCACCAAGAAAATATTCATAGTTCGGCATGCAGAGGCGCTCGGCAGATAACGAAAATTATTGATTGTTTGGAATCAGCGTTTGATGCTCTTTAGAGTGGTAATTTTCACTGTGCGTTATTCTTTACCTTTAAGTTTACCCACATCTACAATGCAGGAAGAGTTTGCCTGACATCTAATTTTTCTTGGCACCAGGTGTTGTGATCGTGAGGAGGTGATGCACGGAGATATCAGATTACTCACACATAATTTCAAGGGCAAAGAACACGCTTAAAACACTTACTGGAACTCATTATCCTCCTCACCGATGGAAGAGAACTGTAGAAATATGGAAAATATAGCATCAAAGAACGGCTGCAAATCTTCATGAATATTAGACAACAACAATGACACTTTGAAGTCAATAGGTCACTTACAACATCATCAGTTCCATTCTCAATTATGTCGTACACGACAGCAGAGAAAAATATGAAGCAGATGACTGGTATGGCCAGACCTCTACCCTGGAAAGAGAATAGATTTTTGGAATTCGCTTTTTAACACGAATAATTCAAACTTTTACCTCCCATAATGAAGTGATCATTCGACCACATTGTGTTAAGAGAAGTAAGCACAGAGGAACACCTGAAGCACTGATACCTATAGTTTGATATTCAGCGCAAGTTTCAATTAAACCCACCAATGATTGTATATACAACGGCGAAAATTTTGCCGGCAGTCGTGAGTCCGTCAATGTCGATCGGACCTAGAATAAATATCCTTTGAAGTGATTTATGAAGAAAAACTAACATCATTCCGGCAAAGTGATGACTCGAAATGCTAAATCTGAAGGTACCCACCAATAGTAGTAACAAGTGAAAAAGATTTTCGGAGAGACTCCATGAAAGACCGATCGTTGGAATCATCATGATACCCTACGTAATTGAGAAGAGCCTAAAATTGGAGATTCAAAGGGTCAACAGAGGGTACCATTAGTACCTTCTCGTAAAGTTCGAGTTTTTGATTGGCCATCTCTGCCCAGTCAGCCTCTGATTTGGAAATCGTCTCTGCCCAAAGCACATTGAGCAGTTCTGTTCGTTTCGCATCTAATTTCACCAATCCAGCAACGTCGGTCTAAATGTTAAAATCAATTACAATACATCGATATCTGCAGGTGACTAGAATCTACTTCCTCCCGTGAAGGCGGAATACTGCACTATCGCATTGTAATGTTAAAGAAAGCTTTTTTCATACATTTTCTCATTATCCGTTGTCTCACACAGACATATGCTTTTCGTGCTATTTCCATTTTTATGTATAATGTTGGCGCTAGAACGTGGGTGCTCGGAGGAACACTCTGACTAAAACGATTTCTATTTACAAAGTAAAATACAAATTTGATTTGATATCTGCCTTTGAAAAAAAAACCAGTTTTATTCGATATCTTGTTTTGACTTAGGTGGCAGAAATTACAAGCTTTTGCTATGTGTGGCTGAATCATGTACGTAGTTTCAAAACGTTTTCGAACGCAAATGTTGGAATACATTCCTATTAAGGGCACCTTCAGAGTGTTTCGCTGCCTGCACTTCTGACCCGACAAGTGAGCTATATAACTACATAGTGCTTGGAAACCAGAATCGCTAGAGGCCAAGGTTGCCAGATCATGTCTATCTTTCTTTTTACAAAAAGTATGAACGTCTGATTCAGTGAAACATGCATGAGCGAGTAAGAGACTTTTTTGATGGAGAAAGCTTTCTAGATCTTGGCTTCAGACCTCACTGGATGAAACTTAGTGTACATGTTCCACTGGTGAAAGGAAGGATATGACTTTTTGAGGTTAGGAGTCAAGCTTCAAAAAATATAAGACACGTTGGTATATAACATTTTTGTCATAGCTTCAAACTCCGCACTAGGTAACCTTTTGTAAAATTATCGATAATGGACTATGCTTTGGAACTAAACAGGACACCCACAATAATATCTCACAATTGCTTGAGCTACGGTTTTGGCAAACCGTGTAAAATGTAATGTCTTGTAATGAAGAAATTGCTAAACAGTAATGGGCAAAATGTTTCAGGTCGAGAGCTGTTAGAGATATCAGAACACGAATGAAACGAAATGTTGTGATGTTATCTCAAGTTTAAGCGAACTACATATGTGATGATAAGCTGAATGTAAGCAGTACGAAAAAATCTGTGCTAGCATCAACAAAAGGTGAATGCAGGAATCTGATGAAAAGAATAGAAAATCTGATGTGCCCATAGCATTTCTATGCACAAAAATTGTATGTTATCTATAGAAAAGGTAAATGTACGGATAAACTTAACCAGTCTCCTCAAAAATTCCAGTAGCAATGGGTGCATTCCGAGGAGGGGGGGGGGGGTAGGGAAGCGGGAGGGAGGGACTTTCCTTCCCATCTAGCCACAATTGTACATCTATCACATTCAGGGCCGCATGCACTAAAGTTCCCACAGGGGAAGGCGATCGCAGCTTAAAAGAAAGCTTCATATCCTGAAGTTCCATATATTTAGAGTTCACTGTCGAGCTGTGTTCCTACCATCTTTCACTATGAACATATTGAACAGGAGCGAGAAGCTGTACAAGCCGCTTTTTCCAGCTTTTTGTATGATCCCCTGAGGATCCCCCGGCGGCCGACCGCCTTTTCTTCGAAGTTAACGAAAATCTTCCATTGTATCTATTATCTAACACCTGTCCAAGGCCTTTGACAAAGTTGACCATTCCAAATTACTTTCTAAACTTGCTCACTACGGGATCCAAAAAGAATTGCTCAATTGGCTCGCCTCCTATCTAAATAATCGCGGCATGACAGTGCGCGTCGGATGCAGCTACTCGAATCGCTTTCTCTGCAGCAGTGGCGTACCGCAGGGAAGCATACTGTCTCCACTTCTCTTTCTCACTTACATAGCAGATCTCGCAACAGTTCTTATGACAAATCCAAATATCAAAGTACAGATTTTTGCAGATGATATAACATTATATTTCTGCTATGAAGAGAACAGACAAGATGAGGCTTATGAAGCAATATCTGAATCAATACAAAAAATGATCATTTGGTCGCGAGAGTGGCATTTACCGGTTAACGCACGCAAAACCAAAGTTCTGCATCTTGGCAATCTCCAGCAGCGCACCTATCTATGCGATGGTGTTGAACTTGAGCTCTGCAGTTTGACCAAGTACCTAGGAGTTTTCATTGATGATCGGCTCAAGTTCACCACCCATTACGACTCTATCGCCAAAAAAGCTCTGTCAGTTCTTTTTATCATCTTAAGGAGCGTTCATAGCAATGACCCCTTCCTCCTAGTCCGGCTCTATAAAACTTATATTTTGCCTCACTTAGAATATGCATCTCCTGTATGGAATCCCCACCTGAAGAAGAACATTGAAAAGCTAGAAAAAGTGCAAAGGACTTTCACCAGAATAGTATTCTATAGATGCTATCCAAAACCTGACTACCCTCAGTCGTTACCCACCTACAGGGAAAGGCTTACAGCTTTGGGTCTGCATAGTCTTAAATACAGAAGAGTCTTTAATGATCTTATCTTCTGCTTCCGCATTTTGAAATCAGAAACAAGACTGAGACCTAGCAGATACTGGCTATTCAGACCGTGTGGTAGTCGGACGGGAGGTTTCGGTCTTTGCTATAGGAAGCTGAGTGGTAGAATATTTACCGTAGCCTTCAACTCCTTTGTATGCCGTACCGCAAGATGGTTCGATCTGCTACCAAGTGAAGTGATTTCATGCGATACATCGGCTAAATTCCGCAAAAAATTAGCCTCTATTAACATCTTGGATGCTCTAGGAATCCCTGATGTTCATTGAAACACGACGTTTTTTTTTTCTTGAACGGAGTGTACCCTTGTATTCTTAGCAACTTTTTCTTCTATGATGCTTTAATTTCCTTTTTGATGCGTAAAAATGAGCAGAAGTGCTTACTACCGTAATGTGCTTTTCAGTGGATTTTTGTTTCTTTTTTTGACAGCACCGATGTAGAAGTCTCTTCGCGGGATTAGCCGTTTGAGGAACTCCGAAGTCGGTGAACCCCCTACCTTGAGGTCCCCCCTGCCACTCGCCCAGGGTCTCGGACGGATTCGTCCGCCTCGAGTTAAGTCGGTCAGCCGAGCCCTGGTTCTATGCCAGAAACTGCGTTTGGTTAAGGGAAAAGGATTTCGGTGGGGGACTATTCACCTTCTGAAGAAGGAAGACGACCTGATGACACCAGCAAGGGACTCTCTCAAACATTTGCTGAATTTTCGTTTTTTTTCTTTTTTTTCACGGTGCACCCTTGTGTGTAAACAAATAAATAAATAAACAAATAAATAACACAACAGTGCTAATCATGTTGCTATGAGAACAGATGAGTTTTTGAAAAATCGAATTTTGGATAAATCTCGACTTCCACTTGTGGTTCATCGCAAATTTCATGACTCCCTTTCAGAAGTCGGACAGCATATGAAGCTCTCTTTTAAACTGCGATCCCCTTCCCGGAGGGGATTTCGATGCATGCGGCCCTCACTGTTACGATTAGGGTCGTTATGTATTTTGTGTAGCCACAAGGATCCCGGCACAAATAAACTTTCTCAAGAGCAACTGAATATAAATGAAAGCGAGATAAACTGCCCAACAATGAGACTCGATATAAATCAAATTCGAGATGAGACTCAACGTATAGATAAAGCATTTTAAAACAAGAAAAAGTTGATATGTAGATGACCTTAGAGATATAGATGTAAATACATTCTCATTTCAGTTCTGATAAAGAATCAGCTTTAAATGGACTGGCACGTATGAATTCAGGTGATTTTTAACAATCGTGTGTTACACCTATGAGCAGTTATACCGTGTCTGTATGATTTATTTGGGAAACAATCAAAGGGGATCAGTTGGTTTCGCAGACTGTGGAAACAAAGTAATCAATCAACCTCACAGGAGTCACGAAGACATAAGCCATGTAAGAAATGATGTTTCCGATATATGATTCAAGAAGGAGCAGATGAGTAGAGGCAAGCATTCATTATCAGGTTGGAACATAAGTCTGCATCAAGATAGGTATAAAGCGCAATAATTCATATTTTTCCCGCATCCCAAATATGTTCTGATATATCGTTCGATAGAGGAAAGCTATCTCTACAAGAGAGTGATCACAGTTTTGCAACAGTTTTATCCACGCGAAGTGTTAGGACAAAAATTGAGAGAATTCCATGCGTCCGAAAAGCCTGAAAAATTTTTTCAGATGTCCGCAACTTTGTCCAAAAAAAATGCTGCGAAAATTCTTACTGCTCATGCATAAACATTCCAAATCAGCTATCTATTTATGCAGGTGCTGTATTTTTTTTCTCGGCTAGAAATCTAAAGTGAAGATCTTCATGTTTTTGTCAAATCCATGCTGAGCTGTTCTTGCACTAACAGCCGTACACTATAAGCCTTCAGAAGCATAAACGTGAATTTTTAGCCTTTTACAGCAGCTGATATCCGAGAAATATCGAAATTAGCATGAAAATCCCGAATGAGATGAGTTAGACACAGCGCTACACTTAGCGAATATAGAGAAATTTCCGTTTTTTCGACTTTTAGCTAGGATAAGTTTACGCATGAATGTCTGGTGAAAAAGTACCTATACTGAGCAAGCTACAATTTCGCAGATTTTTTTTACAGGGAGTAAAGCTTATTTTATGGGTAGTTGAATGTTTTTAGTTTCTGGCCTCAAACTTCGCGTGGATAGAACTTTGTTCACTTCACATAATATCTCGTAGGGCTAGCTTTGCGCTATCGAATGATGTATCAGACCCTATTTGAGGCAGGGAAGAAATATGAATTATTGCGGTTTATACCTATTTTGGTGCAAGACTTATGTTCCAATCTAATATTTGCAAGAACAGGGAAGTATGCTCTATATCAGTCCAAAGCTCTGAGATGAAGAGATGCATGGAACTTCTGTTGAAGCGAAAGTAGAAATGACACAAGTTCAAATTAGCTAAGAAGACTGTGTCTAGCAACATATTACACGCACAATTCACACTGTTATTTGGTATGAGGATTCAATTTCTGATGTGCTAATGAGAACTTTTTTGTACACTTTCACACCACTTTATAAATGGCAGACTGATCAAGCAAGCACCGATTATCTTTGATCCCCACCATCAAAGGCTTCGAAGGCAAGCTGCAGTCAAATTTTGAGCACCAAGACTGTATCATCCATTCTGTGACCAAGAGACTCGAACCCGCTTCTCCCATATAATCTAAACAAGCTTGACGTTGTTCCTCCCTGTTTCCAAGTAGCAAATAATCCTGGATTCAATAGATCACAGGTAGAAACTTGTTGACCACATGATCAAGCTTGTTTAAAAAATGTGGGCAAAACGGTATCGAGTCTCTTAAAAACAGAGTGAATGATACGTAAATTTTTCAAATCTATGAAGTGAGGCTTGACGTTGAAATCATGTATACCGTACCCGTCTTTGGCCGACAACGGAAAGCACCGAAAAGGTGAGTGTGCCGAGAGCTAGCCAGAAGAATAAGCAGATGCCGAAGAAGAGCGACCTTCGCAACGCTAATTGGAATCGAGGAGATAACTCGGTTGTCGACATGCTGCTGACAATGCAATCGATCGATTCCACGTAAGCTAAGGCGGATCTGCCAGCCCCTGCTCTTTACAACGTCGCGTAACAAGCAAAACACTCAGTCGCACCCTTCCGGATCAATCTGCGGCCATTTAGCACCAGCATTCCAGGATGCAAACTTTATCCGAGCGCTGTGTGAAGCAGTTGGTCGTGGCAGTTGGAAGAGGTAATGTTATACCAATGCATAAGAGCTCCTCTTGTCTTTTATTTCATTGTTTGTGCGATTGCACACACTGCACAAATTGCGCGTAAAACCCTGACTTTCGTTAGCAGCTCTGCATAAGTGTTCTGCAGGAAGCCTTTGCATTTCTTCTGATGCTTGACAAAAACTAAGCGAAACACGCTGTAAAGAAATTTCCTGCAGGTCAAAAATTCAGAATGAGACGTGCAATGTGTTTGTGGTACTCACACACACATCAAGATATGAGATGACTAAAGAATCAAATGTGACCAACTGCAGCGGGTACTATTCATGAAACCTTGTAACTCATGCAAATGCGTTTCGCAAAGCCTGAAGCCTTGACGGAAGCGTCACAAGTTTTGGAATGGAGCGTGTTAACGCAGGCTTTGTGGCGAGCACATTCCGACATTGATCAGTCACTTGTAGATCTTTTGAATTTGACCTCAACGAAGTCGCGAAAATGGCTGTGTCAATTCTTTGCAGTGATCTGTCAAGGAGGCGATTTGTCAATGCCAACATCAACTGAGGTGTGGTGCGCCACACCTGATGAGATCAGCAACGAGGGCGGGGGAGGGGAAATATGATGGGAAGGGTGTGAGAGAGAAATTGCGGGCCTAGCGACCAAAGGATAAGTCAGACCTTACAGCTTGAGAATGATAGCGAAATGATTTCAACATCAACTCTGGAAGTGGGAAATGTCCAGTTTGGAGATCACCTCCGCTGTATGGAAAGTATAAGTACAGAGAAAAATCCTCTGGAAGGAGAAGAAGAACGTAATAAAGCATATATGTGGGTAGAATAAACTCTTCACTGGAGTTGTGTGCGACAGTAACTATATCTCATCGATATTCTGCCATCGTATACTCGAATGTGGAATGCAAACAGGAAGTAAAAAATGGTAATGATGTGTCGAGTTTCACCGAAAGCCTCATCTTGACCTGGTACGGTTTCGATTGTTGTGAAATTATGGCATCAAGAACTAGCTTCAAAAGAAGCGTGTTGAGACATCTGATTGAAGCAGAAGATCCCGCATGGATGATACAAATCAAGAATTTTTTTCAGGGTGAAGAAGACAACGAAATGTCTGAAGGAAGGGGCTTGGCTTCACGCCTTCTGAGAAATACTTGGGAAGCTTTCAAGATTTCTGTGAATCTAGCAACCTAGAAGACCTTTTTCGAAGAGAGGGCTTGGCAAAGGACTTGGAAAGATACTTTTGTGAACTTAACTGCGTGAACCAGGATTTTGGCGCATGCACTCACTTCACCTGAATTTACAAAAAAAATCAACTTATTCATGCAGACCTCATACAGCCCTCCACCCCCCCCCCCCTCTCTTGCGCCACCGCTCCACTATAATTCCTAACAAAGGGAACGATCCCAAGTCGAACGTCAACTGGAATGAAAGCTCTCATATGTAGAATGCGTTTTGATGAGCTGATCCCAAATTCACCTTCCGCATCTGCAACGCGGTTTTATGGAAGAAGTCATGAGAGTAGTCCACATTTGACAACCATTCAGCGCCACATATTCAAACATTAGTGTTTAAAAATACTAACTAGTGTTTGTAAGACCAGTTATGCCGCTACTTGAACTGGTGACACACTGATCTTTTGCTTGCTTGTCTACGAGATCTTGCAGGTCTCTAAATTAACTCAAAACCAATAAGAGATCCACAAATGCTAAACCGGAAATTATTTTTAGAAAGTCATCAACAAGGTCGTATCTTATATGATGTGACGGAGAGTCGTTCACATTTGACTCAAAAATAGCATGGTATTGGAAGCTTCGATTGTAAATGAATTTTGACAATAGTTTGATGGGAAAAACCACCATCCAACTAATCATATGAAAATAATCCGAAGTACCGTAAGGAGGAGTGCCGTACTGTAACCTCGTTGTTTCAAAAGTAGTGAAAACCAAAAAGCTTGCCACTTGGGGGTAATAAAATCAGAACAAGTGAAGCACAAGAGGCCAAGATTGATTATTCTATTATCCCTTCGTCAGCTGGATCCAGTTTACTTTGTGGCGGTATGAGCTCTGCTTTAGCATATTCATTGCAGAAAACCCGTGTTAACCAATCAGTACGTCATGGTAGCTAGTCTCCTCACGTTTCTTCATTCCAAATGCTGAAGAAGATTGTAACAGTTCTGACAGGGTGTATTCACTTCAAAAGCAGCTCATTGAAACTTTTGGATTTCTTTCACAAATTGTTTCTAAGAAAAGCAGAATTGCTCTAGGACTTTGGTTGAACTTTGAGGTCGCCACGATAGAAAAAAAACAAAGCCAGACACTTGGTTAAGAACTTCCTAACACATGGAAAATGTAGCAAGCGGAAAGACCGCTCCAATATCTGCAAAAAAGATGCGCTGGTCACCTGAGTTGGGTGACATCACCTGGCGTGGCCATATCTCGTTTCAGAGTAGACGAATCTAAAACCGCCATTCAGCTCAACGAGGCGCACCTTCTATTCTATTATATAGAGTGTCCGTTTGGTCACGGTAGGTACACGGTAGGCAGGCAGATTTCGCAAATCTTTTCACATTTTGCCAATAGACCCAGGGTGCTCAATTACTGCACACTGACTAAATCTACCGTGGCGAAAATTGTATTCATTCGTGAAATCTGGTTGCTATCGTGTACCTACCATAACCAAACAGGTACCTCTATAAATCAGAAGATGCGCCTCGTTGAATGCAATCCAATGGTGCCATTGGTCAGATTTTGTTCACTTTGAAACCAGATATGGCCACGCTACGGTGATGTCACTTAACTCAGGTGACCGTCGTGTCTTTTTTCTTTGCAAAAATCATGAGCGGTGTAGTCGACAAAGCGTGCCACAAAAATTACATGCCTGCTGAACGTAAACGGGCTTTTGCCGCACTCCCATCCAATGTGTTTTATTGAACCGCTCCGTTTACATGAGTGGCGTAGGGGGGAGGGTGCGACAAAAAAATTTTTCGGACGAAGGAAGAAACTTTTTTGAGATGCTTCACAAGATTTTTGCGGCCCCTGACCCGAAACTTTTAGAGAAAGGGGGCGTGGCGTTTATAAGGCATTTGAATTTTTAAACATTTTAAAAATTATTATAATTATTTACAAGCAAAAACAAGTCGCTTGCACATATTATAACACAATTGAGTAACTTTAAAAAAACCCATTTTCGGGGGGGGGGGGTTCGGGGGTTCCCCTTTCGGTACGCCACTGATTTACATCTTGGGAATCTCAATTTTGCCATAGCTTTTCGGATCCAGATCTCCTAGTCGGACCTCGTCACAAAACATAGATCAGAAACCATAGATGTCGTATCATCGCACAAAAAGCCCAAACAAGTTCTTGACGGACCACGAAGTCACGCGAGTACTTGGTTGGGCTTTCCGCTATTGAAGTCCTTTTGGAATGGCAGAGCTTAATTTCTAGGGGAGGTGGACATAAGGGCGACGGCTGTTTTACTCGGTAGGTGTCAAAGAGCTCAAGTTTACACAAAATTAACTCGAATTTTACGTCTGCTGCATTGTCATGCGATTGTCAGGAACTTCTCAACCAAGTGTTTGACATGGTTCTTTTGATCCTGAGGACCTCAAAGTTCAACTGAAATTTCTAAAGCAAATCTTCTTACACAATTTGTAAAATAAACTAAAAAAAGAAACAAAATCTTCAATGAGCTGCTTTTGAATGTTACAGCCTGTACTAAACTGTCACTTTCTTCATCAGCATTTGGAATGAAGAAGCTCAAGAGAGTGGCTACGAGAAGTAGTGATTGGCTAACACGAACTTTTTGCAATGAATATAAAGCAAAGCTCGTCGTGCCACAAAGTAAACTGGATCCAGCTGACGAAGGGTTAGAATAACCAACCCAAACCGTATATGTGTACCACTTGTTCTGGTCTATTTATAACAACGGCGTGGCGCTTTTTGTATAATTGCAGTACTTCTGAAGTTGGAACAGCAGTAGTTACAGTACGGCACCCCTTCTTTTATTTGTGTAACTCCACGTTAGTTTTGGCTTTTCATATAATTCTTAGCTAGATGGTTCAACTTACAGTCAAAATTTACTTACAGTTCGAATTTCCAGTACCATGTCAGGTATAAGTCGACTACTAAAATACGAAGGGCTGTCTATCACACTATAAGCTACCCATCGACTCTCTAACAAGGGGACGATATTTGGTGTCCGTGGCCTTTTATGATGAGACGTACACCATTACACTCGACTTGGAGCGCTGATTCCGAATCTGACTTTAGTTTCTCTGAAAAAAGTTATGAAGGATCATGGTCGGAATGGCAAGACCGCGGCTAGGATGTGGTGTAATGATTAGTGTGTTAGCCTCACAAGTTAGCAGTGGCGTACCGAGGGGGGGGGGGCGGGGGGGGGGCGCGCGCCCCCCCCGAGAACGGGTCGCGAAATTTTTGAAAGTTACTTACATGGGTTATAAAAATGTGCAAGTGACTTGTTTTTACTTGTAAATAATTAAAATAATTTTTAAAATTTTTTAAAAATTCATTTTAGCCTTATAAAAAATTTTTTTTCGGGGGCGTGGCTGACGCCACGCCCCCTTTTTCCAGATTTTAGGGGTCAGGGACCCGGAAAAATTTTGAGAAGCACCCCAAAAAAATTTTCGGAGTGCGTGGCTAACGCCACGCACCTTCTTTAGAAAAAATTTTTTGTCGCGCCCCCCCCGAGCCGAAATCCTGGGTACGCCACTGCAAGTTAGTGCAGTTTTAGGTTCGAGTTCTTTTGTGTTTTTCACATTTGCATTGCCTCAATCAAGCTTCCTTTTGAAAATTAGGCATTCTCGACAGTATTTCTCCT